GCACCTGGGCTAATTTGTGCCCAAAATGTTTGATTTCCTTGAGCTCATAACAGTGGATGAGGCCAGTGTAGTCTGCTTCTAATTTAGAACTATTACCACTGTCAACCAAAACTTGGGCTTTAAGTTGAAGAAGGTCTTCCTAGTGTTGGGCTGACTCATGATACAGATTTTGGAGGTTTGTTATTACCCCTAGTTTCCATTCCTCCATTTTTTTCACTTGCTGTTTTAATTCATCACATTGTTGTAGGAGCTCCTCAAACTGAGGACCTCATGTCCAGTGCCAGAGGTTCGTAAAACTTCCAATAAAGTCTGCAATTTCTGACTTAGTGCATCTATTTCAATGTCTTTTTCTCTAATGATATGAGATAAATTCTGCAGAGTTTCTCTAAACATATCTTGATCACTTTTTTTATGTTCTGCTCCTGCCACCTGGGCACTGGCTGCCATTTCACCCCTACCTCATTTTTAAATGATAATAAACTTGAAACTTTCCCACTAAGATCATGAACAGTCAAGGGTATCCTCTCCTGTTACTCCTTTTTAATATCTTACTGAGTTCCTAGACTATGTCGTAAGTTAAGAAAATGAAATGATAGTTTAAGACCAATAGGAGATTGAGAAAAAAGATAACCTTACTGGTAAGGTGTCTTCTACTTAGGGAACATCTTATAATTTTTACCTTATTCTATGTTGGTAATTAATATCTTTACAGCAAAAGTCAGGTTACATCCAACTACTTCAGGTGTCAAATCAGCTTTGACACCTTTCTACCATATTGAGCTCACATATCTTGACACATTAGGTCGGTATCAAAACTGATTTATTTTAATATATATTTTTTGGTTGTAAATGGACAGACCTTTATTTTATTTTTATGTGTTGATGAGGATATAGCTCAGGTTGTCATGCATGCCAGGCGAGTGCTCTGCCAATGAGCCCCAGCCCCAACCCAAACTGATTTTTTTTTAATTGGTTGAGAGTGTATCTCAGTGGTAGAGCACTTGCCTACCAGGTATGCAGTCCTCAGTTCAATCCCTCCAACATCAAACAAGATGATTGTTTTTTGTTGTTTTAGAAAGAAGAATTTCATAAAGATAGTATCATAAATATAGATTGTAAATAAACTATGAAATGTATTGGACACTATTAATCTAAACCACACTGAAGGAAAAATGTGAATGCAGGTCCCCAAATCAAGTTTTTACCAATTACCAGGGAAAGGGCTTATTACTACTACTGGGCTGGGGAGGATGATATTGAAGATAGGAAACTCCTTTTCCACATGTATGCCTTGTAAACCTAATGTACTTTTTTGATTTGTTTAATGAGATGTTCTTGCTACAAGACTAGACTTGACTTATTTATTAAGATTAGGACTTATATGACCTAGACTTATTTATGAGACTGGGACTTCTAGCTTTTTTCTTATAAATAGTCCTAATCTTGGGGCTGGTGATGTGGCTCAAGCGGTATCGCGCTTGCCTGGCATGCGTGCGGCCCGGGTTCGATCCTCAGCACCACATACAAACAAAGATGTTATGTCCGCCAAGAACTAAAAAATAAATATTAAAAAAAATTCTCTCTCTCTCTCTCTCTCTCTCTCCCCTCTCTCACTCTCTCTTTAAATAAATAAATAAATAAATAAATAGTCCTAATCTTATTTATTTACTTATTTACTTGAAGCATAGCTTTTAAGCTATAATTTTAAAAGCAGGTTTATACAGGAAATGTTGCTTTCTTCCTATTTTTTTTTTTTTTGAAATATCAGGCTGTCTGCTTTACCTGCTAACTTGTGGAGTGCTGATGCTCTCTGCTCTGTCCTATGCATTCTGTGGTTACAGGCAGCATGTAGTGTGTGCTCTGGCATGGAGTGGCATGCCACTGCCCTGGCATATAGAGCTGGTCCTTCCAGAGTTGAAACCTAGTGCAGCAAGGATTTTTTGTTTTGTTTTGTTTTTCCCAAACATATCATTTCTTGCTGGGGACAGGGCCTTTCCTGGCCCCCCTGGGGGAGTATGTGAAGCCTGGACAGGGGAGCCTGGATCTACTCGGCTGCTCCAGTGAGTCAGGCCATGGATTTCTTCATACTGCAGCTTCATGACAGCATCTATTTGAATAACATTCTGTACTGCAGCTTCATGACAGCATCTATTGGAATAACATTCTGTGGAGTTTGAAAGTAAGATATGATTATTAGTAACAAAGGAATTAAAGGAACAAGATGGGAGGTAAAGAACCTGTTAGCCAGAGGACAGTGTACCAGCAGAAGTCCCTCCCAGTGACCTCCTTTCCAACAGTCATCAGGAGGAATTGCCTTGGTTTCTTCTCTCCGTGGGTCTGGAGGGAAGCAAACTCTCCATGGGAGATAATGTGTCTGGCTCTGGTGTTCAACCCTGAGTTCCTGATCTCTGCTTCCCTCAGGAGCTCTGTCTTTTTCTGATTTTTATTGCAACAATGGAAGACCACAGACTGGCTAATTTACAAAGAGAGGAGGGCTTTTTTAGCTTATTTTTTATTAGTTCCAATCAGTTATATAAAAGCAGAAAGCTTTTCAATTCATTGTACACAAATGGAGCACAACTTTATGTTTTTCCAGTTGTACATTATGTAGAATCATACCACATGTGCAGTTATGTACCTAGGCTAGTGATGTCCATCTCATTCCAATAACTTTCCTCCTCCCATCTCCCCTCCCCTTCTCTCCCTACCCTTGGCTCAATCAAAGTTCCTCCATTCTCAACAGCCCCCAATTATAGATCAGCACCCACTTATCAGAATATCAGTCCCTTGGTTTTTGAGTTTGGCTTAATTTGCTCAGCATGATATTCTCCAACTCCATTCATTTACCTGCAATTGCCATAATTTTATTCTCTTTTAATGCTGAGTAATATTGCATTGTGTATATATACCATTGTTTCTTTATCCATTCATCTATTGAAAGGCATCTAGTTTCATTCCACAGTTTAGTTATTGTGAATTGAGCTGCTATAAATATTAATGTGGCTGTGTTTCTACAGTATGCTGATTTTAAGTCCTTTGGGTATAGACCAAGTAGTGGGATATCTGGGTCAAATGGTGGCTCCATTCCAAGTTTTCCAAGGAATCTCCATACTGCTTTCCAGATTGGCTGCACCAATTTGCAGTCCCACCAGCAGTGTATGAGTGTGCCTTTCCCCCACATCCTTGCCAACACTTATTGTTGTTTGTATTCTTGATAGCTGCCATTCTGACTGGAGTGAGATGAAATCTTAGAGTAGGTTTGATTTGCATTTCTCGAATTGCTAGAGCTGTTGAACATTTTTCCATATATTTGTTGATTGAATGTATATCCTATTTTGAGAAGTGTCTGTTTAGTTCCTTGGCTCGTTTATTGATTGGGTTTTTTTTTTTGGTGTTAATATTTTTGAATGCTTTATGTATCCTAGAGATTAGTGCTCCATCTGATGTGCTTGTGGTAAAGATTTGCTCCCATTCTGCAGGATCTCTCTTTACCTCACTGATTGTTTCTTTTGTTGAGAAGAAGCTTTTGAGGTTGAATCCATCCCATTTGTTGATACATGGTTTTAATTCTTGTGCTGTAAGAGTCTTATTAAGGAAGTTGGTGCCTAATCCTACATGATGGAGATTTGGGCCTACTTTTCCTTCCATAAGGAACAAGGTTTATGGCTTAATTCCCAGGTCCTTGATAAACTTTTGAGTTGAGCTTTGTGCATAGTGAGAGAGAGAGGTTTAATTTCATTTAGTTACATTTGGATTTCCAGTTTTCACGGCATTATTTGTTGAAGAGGCTATGTTTTCTCCATTGCAGGTTGTTGGCGCCTTTGTCTAATATAAGACAACTGTAATTATCTGCATTAGTCTCTGTGTCCTCTATTCTGTACCATTGGTCTACAGTTCTAACTTGGTGCCAATACCATGCTGTTTTTGTTACCATTGCTCTGTAGTATAGTTTAAGTTCTGGAACAGTAATGCCACCTGCTTCACTTGTCTTGCTAAGGATTTCTTTGGTTATTCTGGGTCTCTTATTTTTCCAGATGAATTTCATCATTGCTTTTTCTATATCTATGAGGTATGTCACTCAGATTTTGATTGGGATTGCACTGAATCTGTATAGTGCTTTTGGTAGTATGGTTATTTTTACAATATTAATTCTGCCTATCCAAGAACAAGGGAGATTTTCCCATCTTCTAAGGTCTTCTTTCTTTAGCATGCTGTGGTTTTCATTGTAGAGGTCTTTCACCACTGTTGTTCAGTTGATTCCCACATATTTTATTTTTTTGAGGCTATTGTAAATGGGGTGGTTTTCCTAGTTTCTCTTTCTGAGGATTTGTCACTGATGTACAAAAATGCCTTTGATTTATGGGTGTTGATTTTATATCCAGCTGCTTTGCTGAATTCATTTATTAGTTCTAGATTTCTGGTGGAATTTTTTGGATCTTCTAGGTATAGACTCTTATCATCTGTGAAGAGTGATAATTTGGGCTCTTCTTTTCCTGTTTGGATTCCTTTAATTTCTTTCATCTGTCTGATTGCTCTGGATAGAGTTTCAGGAACTATGTTAAATAGAAGAGGTGAAAGAAGAGATTCCTGTCTCATTCCAGGTCTTACAGGAAATGCTTTCAACCTGTCTCTATTTAGAATGCTGTTGGCCTGGGCCTTAGCATAGATAGTCTTTCCAATGTTGAAGTATGTTCCTGATATCCCTAGTTTTCTTAGTGTTTTGAACATGAAGTGATGCATTTTTTTAAAATGCTTTCTCTGCATCTATTGAGATGACCATATGGTTCTTATCTTTAAGTCTACTGATGTGATGAACTACATTTATTGGTTTCCATATGTTGAACCAACCTTGCATCCCTGGGATGAACCCTATTTGATCATGGTGCACTATCTTTTTGTATTTGATTTGCCAGAATTTTATTGAGAATTTTTCCATCTATATTCATTAGAGATATTGGTCTGAAGTTTTCTTTCTTTGATGTGTCTTTGTCTGGTTTTGGAATCATTTGAAATCAGAGCTGAAATCAATGAAATTGAAACAAAGAAACAATTGAAAAAATTTTGTCAAACAAAAGTTGATTCATTATAAAAAAATAAATAAAATTATTAAACATTGGCCATGCTAATGAAGAGAAGGAGATAAAAAAACTCAAAATACTAACATCTGTGATGAAAAGGAAATATTATGACGGATAGAAAGAAATACAGAAGATAATTAGAAATTATTTTGAAAATTTGTACTCCAATAAAATAAAAAAAAATTGAAGGCATTGACAAATTTCTAGAGGAATATCATATGCCCAAACTAAATCAGAATGAGATACACAATTTGAACAAATCAATTCCAAGTAAGGAAATAGAAGACACCATCAGAAGCCTTCCAAACAAGAAAATCCCAGGACTGGATGGTTACACAACTGAGTTCTCCCTGAGTTTTTACACAACTGGTCATTGTATTTCCTGTTCTCTAAAAATTTCATTTGTCTGGTCATTTGTTCAATTTCCAACTCACATGTACATTCAAATAGATTTAACTAAAATAATAACTGGTAAGCAATGAAAAATGTTAAGTAACTTAAATAATTCTAAATCACTTGGAGGTGGTTTGATTTGGGGGGAGAAAGAAGGGATCTGGTTATCAATAGAAATATATTATTATTTAAGTTCAATAATAAACTTTTTAGGACTTTCTCTAGTTTTAAATGATTTAAACCCATTTCTTTCCTGGGATATGGTTTCTTTTTAGATACACAGGTTATTCCTGACTTACAATGATTTAAGATTTTTCAACTCTAAAGTGAAGCAAAGGCAGAGTGCATACTTCTACTGAGAAGCTGTATCCAGAGCTGTGGCTCCCAGTCAGCCCAAGATCTCAAGGGGAAAATGCTGATATTCTACAGTGTCCTGTAAGTTGCTAAGCTACAGTGTTTGGTACTTTAGATGTATCAAATGTATTTCAACTTTCAGAGCTAAAAGTTTATGATGGGTTTAGCAGGGTGTGATCTTATTGTTAATCTAGAAAATATGTGTAAGTGTATATCTTTATTTTAGGAAAGTCTTTTTAAAAAAACATTTTAGTTATAAATGGACACAATGCCTTTATTTATTTATTTATGTGGTTCTAAGGATAAAACCCAGTGCTCCACACAAGCGAGACAAGCACTCTACCACTGAGCCACAACCCCAGTCCCAGGAAAATCTTAAAAATTTTTCTTTAAGTACATTCTTTTTCCTGGTAAACTTTTTGTTGGGTAAACACTAATTACACCCTTTTGACTGATTTCTATGCCTATTTTATTCCTAAAATCAATTTTAACTATTGGTTAAATATACTAATTTTTTAAATTTTGGGGTACTGGAGATTGAACTTAGGGGCACTCTATCACTGAGACATATCCCTTGTTCTGTTTTGTATTTTATTTAGAGACAAGTTCTTACTGGGTTGCTTAGCATCTCATGTTGCTGAGGCTGGCTTTGAACTCACGATCTTTCTGCCTCAGCCTCCTGAGCCACTGGGATCATAGGAGTGCACCACCACACCTAGGGGTTAAACTTATTTATATTGAATTTTTAAACCTTTATCCATACCCTTTGCTTTCTTTCCTGTGAACCTATCACTCTTGTTTTTCTTCTTTGTGTATAGTTTTCTCCATTTCTTTTCTCACATCTTTCATTTTATTCTTTTCATTTCATCTTTGAGCTCTTTAATCTTGGTTTTGCATTCCTTTTTCTAAAAGGCATTTTTTTTCACTAAGTTATTTTTCATGACAAAACATCTTGATTTTCAGTAAAGTAGAAGAAGAGGAATGGTGGGGGGCGGGGAGGAAGAGAGGGTAGGGGAGGGCACTGGGTACTGAAATGGAGTAAATTTCATGCATGTATGATTATGTTAAAATGAACCCAACTATTATGTCTAACTATAATGAACTAATAAGGAAGGAAGGAAGAAAGGAAGGAAGGAAGGAAGGAAGGAAGGAAGGAAGGAAGACAGAAAAGATCATCTTGGTTACAATTTTTACCCATCTGCAGCAATGTTTTTAAAGTTACGATCTTCCTCTTTTTCTCATTTGGTCATTTTTATTTCTTACTTTTTCCTGTAGCTGTTTGCATAGATCCAGGAATGATCTATTTTTTTTTTTAGTTGTAGATGGACACAATACCTTTATTTTTATTTATTCATTTTATGTGGTGTTGAGAATTGAACCCAGTGTCTCACACAATGGTAGGCAAGCACTCTGCCACTGAGCCGCCACTCCAGCCCCGGAATGATCCACTTTTATTGTTACTACTCATGTCTACATTGGAGAGCTCATCTTCCCAAGGAGCTATTACATGGGACCAGGGAATAGTTGGGGTAATGAGCTGATTTCAGGTACTTCTGTTCTCCTTTGTTCAGGGAGCATTCACTGCCACTCAGACATGGAAAATGAATGCCTTGGGCTGACAGAGCATCTCTCTGGGTCTCAGGGAATTTGCCACTGGAATGTCTGTACCACTGGAGCTAAGGATATACCTTTCTTTTTCACATTGTAACCCAGCACATGAAGTGTACACCTGTGCTGATTTTTCTTTTGTTGAAGTAGTACAGCTCCAGGTCTGTGAGCCACCAGTTGTTGTTCCTCCTCTAAGCTGCCACATCAACAGACAACATCTCACAAAGGATGGTTTCCCACATACTCTCTCTTTGGTTCTCTCTCTCCCTAGATCTGTGTGGTCTTAAGTTCAGGAATATCCTTTTAAATCCATTTTGCTTTATAAAATTTTATTCCAAAAGAGGGTCTTTAGTTGGAACCTTCAAAAATACTAATTTGGAGATTTTAGTCCTGTCTTTGAAGTGGTGGTTCTTTCTCCCACTAGTTTAATTTTGAGTGCACTTGGCAGTTATTCATAAGAATGATGGTCATATTCTGGTTCATAGATATTTCTTAGTTTCTTTGTGGGGGGGTGGATGGAACTTTTTCTTTTTTTCAGTCTCTTTGAGTTGATTCCAGTTGTAATAAAAAAATGATAGGGTAGATGGATACTAATGCCATCATTTTAAATTGGAAGTCTTGCCATACATTTTAAATTGTTAGGCAGTTTCATAGTTCTGACCAAAGTATATTTTATGTTGGTATTACCTTTAGAGAATATTCATGCAAATCAACCTTGTTATTTGCAACTATTTCAGAACAATTTTAGAACTTTAGAACCTTTGCTCATAGAAAACTGACAAAAATAATTTTGCAAAATCTTACCTCAGTGGCTTGGTAGCCTGAAACACCCACTAAAGGACTCTCTTCTGCTCTTGCTTCCACTGTGCTCCTGTGTTGTTTTTCTGGAAGAGAGAGTTCTAGGCTTTCAGACAACCCATCAATCTTCATCAGAAGTTCATCTAACAGACTTGCAAATTCATCCCAGTAATAATTCTGAAGGGAAAAAAGTTAAGTATATGCATTCAAGAATATAATTGTTCTTATTTTCTGAAGCATTTAAAGGTACCAACTTTGAGGGATTGTGCTATGTTAGAAAATGCACTGAACAATGGGGTCACAGGACCTTGAAACTAGACCTGTCTCTTCATGTCTCTATGTCTCTGTCTCTTCATTAATATTGTGCATATGCTGATATTTGCATCAATGCTTTGGTTAATGATGTCTGCATAAAGAATAATTGCTGTAATCAGTAGGGAAGTGGGGAAGCACAGGACAGAGTAGAGTCCTTTGCAAATCTACAGTATCATGTTTACATATGACAAGCTTCAGAATTGCACCAAGTAATACATAAATATAACCCATGGAAGACAGTTGAATATTTACTGTGCAAATAAATACCTGTTTGGCTTTGTTGGCACTCATGTCTGGGGTGACTACACCCAACTGTCCCTAGGGTTCCAAGTTTTAGGTAAGAGTTTTTGTCTGGTAACACATACCAAAAGCGAATGACTAACAAAAGGAGACAGAATATAGTGTATGTGTGTTATGTTTTATCTATGAGGTGCCCCCAAAAGCTCATGTGTAAGACAGTGCAAAAAGGTTTAGAGGGGAAATAATTAGATGATGAGAGTTGTTACCCATTGATGAGGATTAACTGGGTGGTAACTGTAGGCAGGTAGGGTTGGCTGGGTCACAAGAGGTGTGGCTTGGGGTTTATATTTTGTCCCTCCTGAAGAGAGCTCTCTCTCTGTTTCTGATTGCCATGCCCTGAGCTGTCTTCCTCCCCTACACCATTCTTCCATCATGTTCTGCCTCATCTTCCTCACCCAGAGCAATGGAGTCAGCTATCTGTGGACTCAGACCTCTGAAACTGTGGTCCAAATAAAGTTTTCCTCCTCTAATTGTTCTTGCCAGGTCTTGTGGTCACAGCAACAAAAATGCTGAATAAAACAATTTGTGTCCTGGGGCAGAAACTCCATCTTTCTAACCATACAGGGTCATTATAAGGATTTAGTGAGTTAATGTAGAGAATGTGCTTGGTAAATTGCAAAGTGCTTTAGAATCTCAAGGGAGAATTCTAAGAGCTCCATTATGGCTGAGACCTAAATTTGACACTTCACACTGATATCTGGCAAAGAATCATGATCACACTTTGATAACAAAGCAAAATTCTGCAGTGAAATCACCAATTTAAGTGTGCTACTAGGTTCCCACAGCTTACATGATCTGCAACCACCTGAGCTTCTTCCGGCTTTGGCATTTCCAGACCCAGAAAAGTGAGGGCCTTCACCCATGTGTAAGCAGTGATGTCTTTAAATCTCACAAGAGATTTACTGTGAGAAGATTTTCTTTTTTGGAAATAAGTCACCAGGGAACCTCTCAGCTGGAGAAGAGAATAAAATGGAAAAATTCTTTGTTAGCACAAGCACACTTTGTTAATTTGATAAACAATGAAATAGAGATTATGTCCCATGATGCCAGTTTATCAATTTTTATTAACTGCTAAGTAAAAAGAAAAAATTAAGAAAATGTATTTCATGAATTAAATTAAATGGCAGCAATATGAACTTGGCAATGGAAATTAACAGTTGGAGCTAATATTATTTATATGATATGTGTTTTCATGTCTACATCTCAGCTTCAATGTTCTGTGCGAGCCACTGTGACCTCTGGAAGCCCTACATGGGAGCATCTGCCTGTGCCTGGGATATTGAAAGAACCCAGAAACTCGGCAGGCTGCTGTGTCCTCATGTATGTTATCTAAATGATTCTGTGTCTTATGGATTCCTAGGTTGTTTATTTCCTTAGTTCACGTTGATACCTGTTAGCTCAAAATTCTGATGGCACCAAATAATTTTTTATACCTTCAGGTTTCTTAAAAATAACCCAAAGTAGCAAAATTTAAGCCACTTAAAGACTGTTTTTGTGTATCCTGTGAAACCTCACAGGTAAGCTGTTCTCCATTGACAAAAGAAGCTGTGGTGATAAGACTCCAACCCTGAGTCTTCAACAGGAACACCTGTAGCCACTGCATCCCTGGCCCACCCCTTATGATGTGAACACTGTGGCCTAGAGTGGCCCTTGGGAAGGAGCTGGGCAGAGCAGATGAGCAGTGGGGTGGTCACATAAAATACAGGGCCAGTTACATTTTAATTTCCTGTAAGTAACAAATAATTTTTAAAATAAATGTATCTGAATTATTGTAGGGGACATACTGATATGAAACAATTTCATTGTTACTGAAATTGAAGTAACCAGATGTTCTGTATTTTTATTTGCTAACTCTGTCAGTCCTACATGAGGGCTGTATGGTTAGAGCACGAAACAATCTCCTCCTCTGTCAAAGGGGTTTATGCTGAGTGACATGTCTAGATTTGCCAGTTGCTGATCAGTGGGTGAGCACGAAACAGTCTCATTCCACAACTGGCCTCCATCCCAGAGAAGTGTAATGTGAAGCTTGTATGATTAGAGTGAAACTTCGTTAGGATGGAAAGATTGAAATAACAAGGCAACAGATACTCCTTTAACAACTTGAGGTCAAGTTCAGAGTGAGAAGAGATGTGATGATTCAGGGCAGGGCGAGGGTCCTGGAAGGCTTCCTGGAGGAGGTATCCTCCTGGGGTGGGTGTTGGGTTGCTGGAATGTTCTAGGCAAAGACAGAATCAAATTAACTGCATTGGACCCATTCCCATAATATGGGCCTTGGGATCCATTCCCATGAGATCTGGTCTGTAAAGCCTGGAAGTTTCTGTCCACATGGACAAAGAGTATTTCATCCCAACAGCAGATGGAACTTTGACAGTCTTTGATTTCAAGGTGTGGGACAGGTTTACATACCATTCCAAAACACCACATGGCTGTCAACAGAAAGAGGGCCCCACAGTAAGGAGCCATGTCTTCCTGGTCAGACTCAGAAAGGCTGTGGAATGAATCTTTTTGGCTTCTTAGTGGAAAATGAAATAGCAGCCTGGGGAAGGAATCTGCGAAGGTGACCGATGTCAGTGTCCAGGTGAAGACCAGAAACCAGTGCAGGTGGGAGTGGGTGGCCAGCAGTAGGGCCCCCATCAGCTGCAGAGAGAAAAGCCTGAGACAATGACCTTGGCAGCACTTCTTGGGATAGGAGACTCCTCTGGGGGGGTTTAAATACTTTTAAATAGTGAAAATCTTGGAGAAGCAGTTTGTGGAGTGAGGCTCTTGCCCATCCTGGTTTAAGACCAATTCCTGAAAGGCAAGTTTCCATCCCTTCTGTTCTGCCCAGGAGTCTCTGTTCTCATTTGCACCCTCACCCTCCAATACTAAGAAGCTCTGCAAGGTGCTCCCCTCTATCCCAATTGCTCTTCCTACCTGGTGCCACTGTTCTCTCTCAGTTGATACCCTTCTGTCTGCCTTTGACATTGGCGGCCTGTCCCCTTCCCCCACCCATGCTGGAATCCCCCCCCCAACTCCTACTCCAACAGGAGGCCACATGGGGGCACTTCTCTTCTTTATGTCCCCAGAATCCAGCCAGGACTCAGTAAAATAGGCCAATTAAGAAGCAATAGAAAAGTCAATTCTGAGTGAATTTGGTTCCAGTTAAGCTCACTGTCTGGGCTATACTAGACAGAGATCTTAGTCTGGGGCCTCAGGGACTGCATCTATATCATGGTTTATTTCTTACTCCATCCACTCTATCCACCTCTGGTACTGACAAGCATGTTTTCAGCCTGGATGAAAGATCACCAGCTAGTCATCTGTCACAGGTCTGTGTAAGTGGACCATGGCCTGGCCACTGGGGACCTCCCAAGCTGCAGCCACAGCCTTGTCCTGTACTTGTGCAGGAACCATTGACTCCACCTGTCATTCTGGCCCTGCACCCAAACTCCCCTGCTCCTACCCAGGAACTAAGTGTAGTATTATTTACTTTGCATGTAGAATCACACAAACTTAGTGGAACTCAGAAGGAAGAGAGTGCAATCTGTGAGTTCAATCTGTGAGTTCAGAAAATTAAGCTAGTGGTCTACCTGGACTTCTTAGGTTCCAGTGCATTCATACTTTGTCCTACAATAAATAGACATCTGTTTATATTCTTTTTTTTTCTCTCCATAGAAGAATTTTTGCTCAGTGGTGTTAATAATGACCAGCTGAGTTTCTGGATAAATTCCACATATAAGGATAGAGATTATCCTCCCAGGTAAATAGCATTTATATATTTCCTAGAGGTGGAGGTTGGGTTATTGGTTTGTGGTCACAATGGTGAGCTAGGAAGGGAGCAGATAAGATGGAAAGCAGTTCTTTCTGACTCTAAGGTCTGCTCTCTTGGCCTTGCTTTTCTGAGTCTGTCCCTCTATGCACATGACCAGCAGAGTTTGGGGATCATGTTCCCTGAAGCAGGAGACCTATGCTTGATTCCTTGTGTGTTTCTTGAGTTCTGGACCTGAGAGCCAGAGCCTCTTCACTCAGGTCTCCTGGCAAGACTCTACCTCAGCCTGACTTATTCTGTGCAGGTTAGGGAACCCACATTATACTAGAGCCAGTATGGCTGGAGCAACCAGATTAGAATTACCAGCACCCACGAACTTCATCAGGGCTACAGATTGCACTCTGGACCTGCTGATCTTGGACTGTACCCTCTAATCTAGACTTTAGGTCCACCCTGGATGAAGATCTAATATCTCCTGGGGTTAAGCCAAGCTTTCCTGAGAACTCATACAGAGAGGTAACTACTATCTGTATGCTTTTGTTTTCTTTCTATTGTGTTCCACTGATGTTGTATGAATACACTAGTGAATTAAATAATATGAAAATAATTTCTGGCATATTAGTAGAGAATTCCTTAGGTGTAGGGTTAGGGTGACAAATGGATGCCAGGGTGAGGTTGGAGGTCTTCCCAGAAGCAGAGCATGGTTGTAGTAACTAAGTTCCTAGGAGTTACGGCTCCAAGGTAAGCCTCATCCTTTTTCTTAGCCCTTTGCTACCTTCCTAAGAAAAACTGCTAGGTCTGCCCATAGCTTATTGTGATTTTTAAATGAGTTAACATACAAGAGGCACCGCTGACCACACTGGACACTTAGAAAACTCAGTAAGTGATAATAACTACTTACAATAGTAGTACAAATAATATGCTATAGGAAAGTATAATACATAGCAAGTGTTTAATAAATCATGGTTATTGTTATGACCATAATTTATGATATAACTACTGCTTTCAGTTATCTAAATCCACACTGTAATGGATTAGAGGACTGGAATTTAGGGTGGTGAATCATCTTGAGAGAGGTTTGTTTTTCCCTAACCAATGACGGTATGCCAACGTATGGCTGAGCTGAGAAATCCCTGGGTAAAGAGGAACAATTCTTACCACTGGTGCAAAGATTCTGGAGAGAGAGGAACGTATCATGGAAGGGAAGGACACTGTGGAGTTTAGGGAGCCAAGAAGGTAAATGCCTTTCAATATCCATAGGAATGAGAGGATCCCCTGGAGCCATCGTGTCCGCTGCAACAGAAAAACATAGCAGGTCAGTGTGTCATGCCAATCATAGGACAGTGCAGAGGCACGCACACACCTGTGGGTCATGCATGAAGGGTCCCTTCATCTGATGGAGCTATACAGACCATGAATCTTCCAGGAATATGAATGTCAATGTCTGCAGAGGAGAATGAGCCAGAACCAGGAGGAAGTTCAAATTAGAACATTTTCAGGAAGATCAGGTCTGTGTTCTGGCCTTGAATTTCTGTAAACATCAGGACAGGGCAGGTCTGGCCATTTTGCTACCTGAGCCTGGGGTGAACTGTATTGAAAGAAAACCACCACCATGGGGTGGGAGGTGACAAAGAAAATGTGCAGTGCAGACTGATTTCCTCTCCTCTCCATATGTACAGAATATGTTCCAAGTTAATAAAGCTTTTCATGCAGATTTTTCTATTTTAATCCTTATGAAAATTAGAAGCATTTCCATTCTATAGTCTAGAGACTATAGATCCAATAAATGAAGTGATCAAACAAAAGTAGCACCACAAGAGACATGGCAGATCCAACTCAGCCTCTCAGACCTGCATCCAGCACCGGCATTCACATCCATAGATGCTCCAAGAAGATAGCTCACCTTTTTAAAGGGGGCTCATTTCTAAAGGATGCTTTCTTATGTACGATATCATCTGTTCTCACCAAGATGATAAATTGAAGAGAAGGAAATAAAAGTTGGATGTTTAAAAAACTATGTGGGCAAAGGAGAAAAGTTTTCTGATTTTTTTTTTTTTTTAGAGAAAATCAAAATGACCTCTGAAAACCAAGGCCTAGACGAGCTGTGACTGTCACACCTTAGAGCAAGCAGGCATGGCTCTGCTTGGAGAGAACAGGCATGATCAGAACTATAGCATGTGCCTGCCAGGAGAAATAAAATGCAAGCTACAGTGGACTTTCAAATTTTCTAGTTCTTGCATTTTAAAAAGTAAAAGTAAACAGAGAAATTTTATTTAAACCAATGTATCTAGAAAATATCATTCCCATGTATAAGAATTACTGACATATTTTCATACTAAATTTGTAAAATCCACCGATTATTTCACATTTGTAGCACATCTCAGTTTGGACTAGCCACACTTCAAATTCTCAACACCTACATGTGGCTCATGGTTATGAAATTGGACAGTATATCCATGAACTCCCTGTGGGCAGAGTGGAAAGGACCCCTGTCTGGCCTACATTTTATTTGAGGGTTATCATAAAGTGTTCCTAGTTGTTATTATTATTATAACTTTCACTTACAGGACACCACCACCAAGCTCTGTGCTTGAGGGGTATGCATACATATATGTATATGTACAAACACATACTCCCTCCCCCAGCTCAACTGCTAGGAAAACCCTTAGATTGTATATCATGGTTCTACCTTTTAAAGACCTGAAGATGACTACATAATTTGTGCCCAGCCCCAGGAATCATGAACCTCTGCTGAGCTCATGCACTACTGAGGGGGCAGTGAGCTTTTAGGGGGTGCATGGCACTCTCTCTTGCCCAGGAGGGCTCAAGACTATTCAAGAAGCTCTGTAGTTCTAGTGACATTTGCAAAGAAAGACAATTTGTATTCTTTTCCTTCAAGAAGAAAGCCAGATATTCCCCTGTGTGGGCTACTTTAGAGCACATATTATTTCTCTGGGCTAGTGAGTTCCTGGGGCTTGCAACAAAATGACTTATGAAAGGAGACAGGGACAACATTTGGCAAGGAAGGGAGGGATTAGCTTCAGTGGAGGAAGACCAGCAGGCCTCCCTACATGGCAGACTGGAGAGCCAGGTCAGGGCAAGATCACAGGAGGAGCAAGAGGAGAGGGAGGGGAAATGGCAAAGCTGGGTGGGGAGGTGGAGGCTGGAGGGGAACTGGTCCCCTGTCTGCCAGGCTGCTCTGAGACCAATCAGCCCTGGGACATGAGGTCAATTCAGGCTATGGGGTGGCCCTGGGGTCCTTTAGGTGTAGAAATGAAGGTCTAGGGAGGTCTTTAGATGAGGGAAGTATTAGCTGTGGGTGTAAGAGGACAAGAAATGTGTGGATTCAACTTCCACAAACCCATCACGGCATAAGGCAATAGACCTGCAGAAGGTCCTGCAGGTGGTGGTGAGATCCTTGTCCTGTGGCACCCCTCCCTAGGGCTTACCTGTCCTGTCCTGCACATGTTTGCCTGATCTTTCTGGCAAAATGTTCCATCCTATAGATGGGAGCCTCAGAGGGGATTAAGGTATAGGGACTTGGAAGCTGGATGTCCCCCTGTTGTGAGATTTGGGCTTTTCCTTGAGCCTCAGGATTATCACTGGTAAAGATCACCTGTATCTAGGATTGTCACAGATAAAGGGAGAAAGATACAGTGCACCTACACGTGTCAGCACTGGCCTCCTTCCTCCATACTTCATGGACAAAGAGTATCAAGCCATATAGTTCTGCCCCATGCAGAATCCACATACCCCAGCTTACAAAGCATGTCTTAAGTTTCCCAGGCCCCTAACTGTTCTGGCCACCATCATCTGCAAGCTCAGAGCATTGTCATACAACATGGAACAAACCATACCTGATTCCACAATGCCATAAGACTGAGGTCCACATACACCTGACAAAATCCTTTGTGAAACTGGTCAGCGACATCCCCAGCAAGCGTGGTGAGGTGGCTGGAGGCTGTGTAGTAGGTGAGGGTCACTCCAATAACAGAGAGCTGCAGCAATGAGGAGAAAGGGGGAGGCTCAGCCAGCTCCTAAGAAGGGGTTGCCTGGCATCTGACCATGTTTGGTCCATAAATCAACTGCAAGAGTGCTCAGTAGATGTGGTTTCAAATGCTGTTTCAGCATTAACATGATAGAGGGAGACACTGTAATGATGTTGCAATTAGCTAGTGCATAATCAACTTCCCATTAAAAAGATTTGTTCTTTTCAGACAAAAACACATTATTGACATTTTTTTTCTCACAAAGAAAATTACTTAAGACAGTTACCTCCAGCCAGCTCCTTGGCTTTTGCCAATAGTCGAGGACACCCTCCTCAACCATTCTACAGAGTTGAAAGCAGAGGTGAATCAGGTTGAGTACCAGGAAGACCAGCTGGTGAGGGTGATACAAACATGCAAGATAAGTGAAAATTCAAATTTTTTTCAGAAGTCTAACTTTCTGGCTGTCAAGAACCTTTCTTGCCAATCACATCTGAATAAACATGACGCAAGCCACATTCTTGCTCTGTGGCATTTGATAATGAACTTTTCCTGCAATGGCTTTGGGGCAGGGTAGTACCACTTTATGTGTCAAGCTCTCATAGAAACCCAACTATGCTGGGTGTCGGCACTGCAGGCATCAGAACCACCATGGGAGTGTCCACTGCCAAAATCAGGCTTCCTAACCTTTATGCTGGCCACTCTAGGCCTTCCTCAGCACCACTCAAGACAGTGTGTGTGTGTGTGTGTGTATGTGTGTGTGTGTGTGTGTATATATATATATATTCACACATATTTATATATGTATGAAATATGACATCTATATATAAATATTTTTGACCACATAAAGTCTTTAAAAGCTCCTGATAAAGATTCTTATAGCAGTTTTCTTACCCTCATTCAGCACTAGTTCAAATTCTAAATTATTGGGGCTGGAGTTGTAGCTCAGTGGTGGAGTGCTTGCCTAGTACACGTGAAACACTGGGTTGGGTTCTATCCTTAGCAACATATAAAAATAAATAAATAAAATAAAGGTTAATAATGTTCCAAATTACTCATGTATTTATGTGGGATTGAAACCCATTAGCAGGGCCTTCATGAATTTCTCTTTGTCCTTTTTGGAGCCATGTGCCTATGCCCCATGGACCTGTTCTAAGAAGCTACCAACATAATTGGAAGTGAGAATGAGACTTGGTTCTCTGAGGCAGAAAAGCTAAATAAGGCCTCATTCTAGCAAAAGTTTCTAAGAAAAGGCTCAGAATGACTCTGGTGCTTTTCACAGATCAGTGAAGCTACTGAGCCACTCCATCTCATCCAGAGCCCTGGTGCAAGGGACCAAAGTTTGTGGACTAAAAGTCTGGGACCTGGAACCTTCTGTGTGTCTGTGTTTGAGGATGGGGCCTCAAAGGAAGTTTCTGAGATTAACTGAGGGCAAGAGGGTGGGGCCCGATCCTATAGGATTCGTGTCCTCTCACACAGAGCAGCCAGAAAGGCCACAAGCTCTCTTCTCATTCACTTGAGCACAGAAGGGGCTATGGGAGGACACAGTGAGAAGGTGGCTGTCTATCAGCCAAGAAGAGAGACCTCATCAGAGCCCGTACTTCTGGTGTCTTGATCTTGAACTTCTAGCCTCCAGAACTGTGTTAAACAAATGCCTGTTATTTAAGCCTCTCGACTTTGTATGGCAGTGCCTCTCTCATCTGAGGGAGATACATTTTCAAGACCCCCAGTGAGTATCTGAAGCTGTAAAGAATACTGACTCCTAGATATTCTATGTTTTTTCTATGAATTCATATCTCTAATAAGGATTGACTTACAAATTCAGCACATATGAAATTAACATCAATAATTAATAATAAAATAGAATAATTATAGCCATATACTATGATAAAGTTGCTTAAAACTCATGACTTATTTACTTCTGGAATTTTTAATTAAATATTGTCAGACCACAGTCAACTGTGTCACAGTAACTGATGCCCATCTTAGGAGTCTTAAGGGACCTAAGACTGATCTAGATATTTGCCCTAATCCTCCTATGAAGAATTAGTGCATCTACCTAGCTCTGTATTTGTGCTTGCCTTGTATATGATGATTGCTTTCTTTTTCTTTTTCCTTTTTTTTTTGGTACCAGGGATTGAATCCATCCATGGGCAATTAACCACTGAACCACATCCTCAGCCATTTTTGATATTTTATTTAGAGACAGGATCTCACTGAGTTGCTTGGGGCCTCATTAAGTGATGAAGTTGTCTTTGAACTCATGATCCTCCTGCCTTAGCCTCCCCAGCCACTTGTGCTCAACACCTAGCACAAATTCTGCTATGTGTAAGAGACACAACAAGGGTGTAGGTGAGGGGTGGGCCTACAGAGTGTATTGGTCCTGCTTCATGGGAACACTCTGTTCAGTGAGGCCCCTCCCCCCATGCTAGTCCAGGAGGCCAAGTGCAAGTGAGCTCACCTCAGGAAGCACAAGGGAATACCAAAGGGCTGAGTCACCGCGGAAGATTCGGAAGGACTCTATCAGAGATGAGGGGACAAGATCCCCAGTGGGGAGGACCTCCGCGCTCAGGGTCACACTCGTGAAAAGTCTGGTTGGAGGGTTGTAGAGGGTGAAATGCACAGACACAGCCCTGGTGTTGTGGTCGATCCATCTGCTGGCCCTGAGTGCATTCAGGGCCTCCTGGGCTTCAGGCCTGCAAAGCAGCACAAGTTCAGAGGGAAGATCAGGAGTCAAGCTTTGAAATCCACAGAAAAATTCAGCCACAGCCCCATGCTGGGACCACCTGGTGTAAGCCTTCACAAGGACAAGCAACACCTGGGTTTCAAATGGCCTTTCTCTATATTAGGGACACTCTCCCTAGAAGCTCACTGTTCCTCTCCCTATGTTCCACTCTCTTCCCTGCAGCAGCCAAAGGGGTGCACAGGCAGGATGGAATCCAGGCCATGGGAGGTTCTCCATACCTCACTTGTGTGATGTGAGGCAGAGATGCCCAATATTCTACCCCAAGCGCTCTAAAATATTCATTTTCCTCTTTTGGCAATGGTCTTCATTTTTAACATTTTTTGTTAATCCATGTTTAGTAAAAACTAAATCATTTCCTTTTAAAATTTTATAGTCCTCGAAATGCATATTACTGCAACTGTAAAGACTTCCTGCTGCTGTAAGCAGAGCCCCATCCTGGTATGGGATGAGGGCTGCTCAGGGATCCAGGAGGTGGGGATGGGCAAAGGGTTCTGGCAGGATGGGGCAGGCCACCTGAACACAGGTCTAGCCACAGTGTGGGCGATGTCTGCTCCTCATCTTCCTGGTGTGACACGAAGAAGTGACAGTCCTACTCCACATCTGGGGACATGTAAACACCCTGATCAGCTCTAGTAACCACTTTTTGGGAGAACATTCTGCTCTCTTCTCCCCCATGTGCTTAGTCTGCAGGCCCAAGGCTGAGTTCTCTCACAGCCTAAAGTACAGCTCTTCATCACATCACAGCAATAACAAGTACTGTGCAGGCCATGGAAGTGCTGTGCCTGCCTCTGGAGCCTGCAGCACCTGTGCAGATGGGCATATCCAGTGATGTCTGGGCCAGGAGCTGCCCAGCAGGTTCAGATGAATGCTGGCTTCTGACTTGCACTGACCTTGTTCTGCCCAGGCTGAGCACGAAGTCCTCTTTTCTCAACCCCCAGACCCTGGGACCACCAGGGGTCACATTTTGGTTCTCAAAACCTCCAATTGCAGGGCTGCATGTAGGAGGAGAGTCCTCGAGGAGCGCCGAAAATGGCCTGGGAGGCTGTAGGACAAGCTACCAATTAGAAGAAGCCACTAACCACTGTTCCTAGGTTCATTGTATTCTGGGGTTTCCAAGCCCTGCAGGCATATAATACAACAAGGTGCCCTGCTCTACTCAGGACCATTTTTCAGCCTGTCTCATAGTCTCTGGGATCTAGCATGAGCTAGAGGGATCAAGGCTCTACCTATTGAAAGTCAGTACATGAGCAGTCTGAGGCTTGGACAGATGTAGATCCCATTATGGGATGATACAAGTAAAATGTCATATTTTGGATATTTCTAGCAAAGAATATGTGAATATTTTATTTTTAGACTTTTAGATTTTAAAATTCTTGCTTTCACCTAGAATACTAGATCTCTAAGGAAAAACTGAACCAAACAAACCTACTGCAGAATGCTGAGCCTAGGAGAGGCATTTGGAAACGGTTCACAAGGGGAGAAGGAAGGCCAGGCTCCCACTCTTCCCAGCCCTGGCACCTGACAAGTTCAAGTCACCCTTTAGTGCTCTGAAAAGCTAATAGATCTGCCAGCTTCCAGCACCAGTGTCTCCCAGACTTTTCTAATTAAGTTTATTTTTAGAAGTAAAAGAAGGAGAACATCTTACCTTGTGTATTCTGCAAAGAGAAACTTTTTGCTGCTTAATTACTGAAGTGCCTATTAGGTAGCATTTTCCACCAAGGGCTCCAGGCTAAAGAACAGAAAGAGACTCAGAGGAAGGCGCATGTTGTAAACCTCAAACACCACCTTCAAGTAGTGCTAAGGAATCATGGGGATACTGGGTAACTGCCTAGTCTATCAGGGCCCAAATCCTTCCTGCTAAAAACCACTCCAAGGATGTAAGCAACATTCTAAGAAAGACACAACTCCCTCCCCAGCCTCGTTATGGAAAAGTACTAGCATCATTCAAAAGATGTCTTTATAATTTGCACTTCATAGGAATGATCTATTTTTATCTTTTTCTCAAGTTTTAACACTGTTATCATTCTACAAAACTATAAAGAATAAACTAAATGAAATGAGAAAATGTTTGAGGACTGCAGGATAAACATACTTTATCTTTAAAAGGGGAGGGAGGAGAAAATAAAATATAAACAAAGAATTGGATTATACAAAAAGCACATTCACTTTTTCTTCTGAACTTGGGACCAGGCTTGCCTTTTTCCAGAAGCTTCCTTGATGCCCTCTCTTAGCCATTTGCTCCTCCCTGCTCTGAGATGCTCCTTGTGTTCCTTGACATGGTATTTTACATACTGAACTATATTCTTCCATCTCTGCCCCCATGTCTCCCAGAAGTCCCTCTGTGTCTGGTTCAGCTTGGCAAGTGCAGAACATGGAGCATCCTGCAGAGCTCAGGAGGGTGACATGGGAGGAGTAAGTGGGCTCCAGACAGGGAAAGTAGTGGGGTGCTCTGCTGGCCAAGGCACCCACAGAGCAGAGTCACAGACCTTACAGCCATGTGGTTATTCAGGACCCAAACAGTGCTGCAGGTCCCCTGATTGTCAAGTGACTTCTGGGGTGATGTGCAGTGAAGAGGAAAAGGAATGCCCACCTGAGTCCCCTGAGAAGCAGCAGCAGCAGCGGAGGGGCCTCCCAGGTGCAGCCCATCCAGAAGCGTTGTCAGACACCAGTCCCACCAGTCATCAGTGCTTCTCAGGCCCTCCAGGGATTGTCTGGAATTTCTTAATTCAAGAACAAAAACAACAAAAAAAGTTATTTCTATATCCATGAGAACAATCAAAATTGAGAACAAAAACTGGCTTTTCCCTTGCCAATTTGTAATTTTAGATTCTCTGAATTAAGTCAAGGCCATCCATGGCGTGAGGCACAAATCCTGGAATTCCCTTTGCTCCTCCATGGCAGGAAAGAAAGGAGAACAGCAGGCAAAGCACTTGTTCATTCACTCACACATTCACTCAACAAACGTTCCTGTGCAACTACTAAATGCCAGACCCTCTTCTAGGCACTGGCAATGAAAAATAAAATCCCTGCCCTCCTGTGGGGAAATAAACAGCAAATAAGATATAAGGTGGTCCCCTGTGGGTTCAACTCAGCAATTTTTTTGGCTGTGCAATGGTCGAAAAGCATACCATCCAACCACTCTAATGTCCACTTTCAGCACAGTTTTCAATAAATTCCATGAGATGTTCCACACTTTATTACAAGCTTTGTGTTAGATGCTACACCAACAGTAAGTGAATGTAAGTGTTCTTAGCACGTTCAAGGAAGGCCAGGCTAAGTTAGGAGGAAGATGAACTAGGTGGGTGGTGTTGGGTGCTCTCAGTATATGAGGGCTTTATCAGGACCTAACCCCATCATAAATCAAGGATAATCTGCATAAGCAAAACATACTATGTAAGTGATAAATACAAATGAGGGAAAATCTAAGCAGGAATGACAGACAGAAAGTGGCAGGGTGAGAAAGCTGAAGGATTTAGTTCAAGTGGCTAAGGAATATATGAGGTGACCAGTCAGCAAAGGCCTGAAGGCCATAAGGGAGGAGTCTCATGGTCATCTGAGGGAGAGGTTTTCAGGCTGGAGAGGACAGCAGAGGAAGCCATATGCTTGGGAAGTATGGCTGGTGCAGAGGGTGCCAGACACCCAGACCAGGGCACAGTCCTCTCTCCACTGACTGGTGGAAGGACACGGTGTTTAACCTGCTCCCATAGTGTTGGATGAGTAGGCACAATTGAAGAGCAGTCTGGCACAAAGTAGGACATCAGCAAATGCTAGTTTCCAATTAACTGCCTTTTTTATTACTTGGGGCTGCAACCTTATACATGCTAGGCAAGCGTAGTACTATTTTAATTAGGTATATATGATAGTAGAATGCATTTTGATTCATTGTACACAAGTGCAGTACAACTTTTCATTTCTCTGGTTGTACATGATGTAGTGTCACAGCACACTTACAGTCATACATGTACCCAGGGTAATGATGTCCATCTTATTTTAGACACTTCTCAAAAGAAGATATACATTTACTTAACAAATATATGGAAAAATATTCAACATCTCTAGTAATTAGAGAAACGCAAATTGAAACTACTCTAAGATTTCATCTCATGCTGGTCAGAATGGCAGTTATTAAGAATACAAACCACCATATGGATTGGTGAGGAGTGTTGGTGGTGGGGGAGGCACACTCATACATTGCTGGTGGGACTACAAATTGGTGCAACCAATCTGGAAAGCAGTATGGAGATTCCTTAGAAAATTTGAAGTGGAATTACCATTTGATTCAGTTAGCTTCTTTATTGTATTCATTAGATGTCTGCTTCACTCTCCTCCAAGGGATGGACTTAAGAAAGCACTAAATTAATTTCAACCTGACAGAATGTACCATTCTCAGCTTGCTCAGTCAATGTGAAAGAACCATGTGCACCCAAGGCTATTGTTGGAAGCATGAGTCTAGCTCTGCACCAGAGCCAAAGTGTAAGGAAGGGAACAAATGTTCCTCAGAGCAGAGTCCTCCCACCTGGCTTCCCATGTAGGGACATGAATAAGGTCATGGCAATATCCATGGCAAACAGAAATGTAGCAGTTTCATCCAGATCTTTCTCCATGAAAAGAGGAGACGAGAAGACTTATTGGACACAGTGATTTTGTTGAAAATGATAAGAAGATAGAGAAGGGTATGACCTGAAGTCATTCAAGTATACACAAGTTTAATTGTCCTGCCTATTCCAACAACCAAGTCTAGATTCCTCCAAAGTACAAGCTCAAGATATGTTCTTCAAATGGTAGTCGTGGACTTGAGCAAAGTTATGCTACAGAGATGGGGGTGCCTGACAACTCCATGTTCAGGGATATCACTTTGGTAGCATGAAATGGACAATGGTGGGCGCATTTACACCACAGAAGTTGGCAGGCAGATGCTATAAGCCAGTGCCCTTGTTCTCCAGAGAGAACAGGACAGTTAAATGTTGGCCAGCACAGCACAGAGAACATGTTCTCAGGCAAGTGTTGGAGCAGATATTTCATTGGTGATTGAGGGCAGCTTTTAGAGATAATTGAGAAAAAGTGTTTTAAAATTTTAGAGGCATGACAAAATTGGACAATATAAAAGGAAAAGAAACCAAGAAAAAGAGAAAAGTTATTAACATAGAAGTTAAGAGAGAGATGCAAAGAGTCTCAACGTACAATTTATATACACTATTAATATGTTCAAAATTTTCCATAACATGTGGGAATAAAACTCCAGCTAGCTAATTTGACTGGTTTTATTTCATTTTTCCTACAGATGGAGGACCTCCTCTCCATTTACATATTTGGGCTTCATTAGTTTTGCCTAACCTATGCAGGCTGCCTGTTGGGTGCTGATTCTCTACTTCCCCCTTCTCTGAAACTTTGGTCAGATTATATGTCAAACACAGAGCAAGTTGGAGACCTACAAAAACTTCAAGAGGATGGGAAGAAGAAACAGAGAGGTACCAGAGATGGGAACATAAAATAAGAAGATACAGCTCTGCAGATATTCACAGCCCCTGGGGAAGGAAAACATGAAAGATGGAGAGGCAATGACAGAAAGGGCAGGAGGAGGGGAAGAGGATGATCCTTAATTTTCAACAGAGAAGTGTTAATCATCTATTCTTAGAAGCAAGATTATTTGACAGATAAACTGACTATACACCTATCATCCAATATGCTCCTGTGTTATTATCAAATAAAGTAGTATAAATTTTATGGCTACATTGATTTTTGCATAACTCCCTCCCTCCCAGGGCTGGGAATTGAACCCAGGGCTTCTCTCATGCCACGCAAGTGCTCTATCACTGAATACATCCCCAGACCAAGTTTGCATGACTTTTGAAGTAATGTTCTCACTCTCTGACTCTGGCCCCTGTTGAGATAACATGAAAGAAGCTACGTCAAGAAAGACCCGAGCAAAACTCAAGCTGAGACATCCCACACCAGAATGAATTCATCTCACATGCACTCCTGGCACACTGGAGTGCAGGTAGTGAGCCAAATGAGCCAAGAATACTTTGGCTCTGTCTGTACTAATTACAGCAATTATATAAAACAGGCCTACAAAACTAGCTAAACAATGTGAGAGATAAAATCAGCCTCATTTTCCATGCCTGGCACTTGGACAGAGTGCTCTTTTCATTTACTGGTACTTTATTTTTGTTTTATTTCACTTGGAATTTTATGAAGACCTTATTGAGTTCAGAAAACACTTCAAATGCCCCTTAAATATGAAGACACAGAAACCCAGGAGCCCAACTCCTTCACTTTATAGATGAAGATTCTATAGCCTAGAAAGGGCTGGCAGTCACCTGGTAGCCACAAGAAAGCCAGAAGCCTAGTCCCGGAGTTCCATGTAATTCATTTCCCTCCTGGCCTTTAGCTCCTCTTTCTGGAATGCTACAAACAACAAGCCTTCAGGAGTTGTTGATTTTTCAGGATCAGGGAGTGGTGGATGGGGGTGCAGGTGAGGTGTTGGGATAGTGGGGGGAGGTAGGGATGGTGAGGTGAGGCAGAGAGGGTCCAGTTTTAAACATTCCGATATGAACCAGGACATAAGAATGTATCCCTGCCTTGTGGTTAGACCATCCAGAGGTAGTGAGATTTTGCATCCTTGTGGAATTCTAAGGTCTCTAAGAAACCACAGGGGTAATATCTGAGCTGTTCATCTAAGCACATTGGTCTCAAGTGCGTGCGAGATCTCACAAATATTATCTCAGCTGTGATATTTCTGACTTGAATACCAAGTGGCAACAATTCATATGAGAAACATGTCAGATAATGCTGACTTATGAAATGTAAGATTAAAAAAATAAACTAGCCAAAGTCAGCAGTTTTTCGGGTTTGTATTTCCATTTCCAGAGAACACAGCAAATCGTCATTTTGTTTTGCTCACATCGCCACCTACTGGCATATTTTGTGCACCTGCCCAGGTGAGAGACCTAAAAAGTCAGAAACAAAAATAACTGCTGCTTTTGCAAGTGAGAAGGCAGAAAATATCACTGAGCTTTACAGTAAAATGTTGGATAATTGAGCTCTGGAGAATACAGATTCAATGAACTGGAACTTTCAGGTCTTACCACATTAGTGAGTCATAAAACTAACAAGGGGCTTGACATTTACTAGTCATTATCTGACTGGGTATCAATAAACTTCCCTTTTGCACAAGATAAAAATAAATGTTCTTAATAAATAAAATTATATGCATTTTCCATTCATTCCTGCAAAAAATATTTCTATCAAATTTAATTACTTAGTCAAAGGCAACATGCTCATAGAAATGCTATAAAAAATCTGTTTAAAAATATTCTTTGGAGAAAGAGAATGTAAACCCCAGAACACAGAGAAATATTTTACTTCCTATTACTGAAGCCATTGAGAATATCAACTCATTCTGTGATTTTCAGATTTCAAAGTCACACTTCCTTGAAAAAACTATCAGACAGAATGTTTTTAACAGGTGAAATAAAGTCCAATTATGGATTTAATAACAACTTTCAATGAAAAAGGAATGCTAGATTTAAATGTATATGTTGGTTACAATGTGTGTCCCAATTTCAAAGATGTTAAGCCATGGAAAAGAAAAATAGCTTGATAAATGACTCTGCCTTGGGGTATCAAGGTAATTTTTCTGCTTTGTACTTTTAAGTTCTTTCATTTTTACCTCGCATGAAACTCTTTGTTTATTTATTTTATTTTCAGTACTGGGAACTGAACTCAGGGAAGTTTTACTACTGAACCATATCCCCATATCTTTTTCTTTTTTATTTTGAGTCAGGGTCTCACTAAGTTGTGGAGGCTGGTCTCCAACTTGTGATCCTTCTGCCTCAGCCTTCCAAGCAGCTGGAATTACAAGAAATTCTACTGTTTTAATTTATTTTTATATTTATTTATTTATTTTGGTACTGGGTATTGACCCTCACTTAACCACAGCCCCAGTCCTTTTTATTTTATTTTTTAATTTTGAGACAGTGTCTTGCTTAGTTGCTTAGGGGCTCACTAAGTTGCCAAGACTGGCCTAAAACTTGTGATTCTCCTGCCTTAGCCTCCCTATTTGTTGTGATTACAGGAGTGTGCCACTGTACCCAGCAAAATTCTACTATTTTCATTTTTATATTAGAGCTATATATTTATACATAGAAGTTGGATTCATCCCAACAAACTCAAACATGCATGAAAATCAATTTCAGTTCATGATCCCCCCACTTTTCCTTCCTGTTCTCTCTCCTCTCTCCCATTCTCCTTCCTTTATTGGACTTCCTTTTGTTCATCTATTAATTTATATTTGATTAGTTCTTTATATTATCTTATCCATACCTCTTCCTTTTCTTTATTTTAATCTAGCTTCTGTATATGAGAGAACACATTAGACCTTTGAGTTTCTCAGTTTGGTTTATTTCACATAGCATGATAGTCTCCATTTCTATCCATTTACCAGCAAATACCATAGTTTCATTCTTCTTATGGCTGAGTAGAACTCCTGTGTGTGTGTGTGTGTGTGTGTAAACACACACACACACACACACACACACACACACACACTCACACACTATAATATCTCAATCCACTCATCTATTGATGGGCACCTGGGTTGATGCCATAATTTAGCTATTATAGAATATTTAGCTGTAAATATGGAGTTGGTCCCATTGCTATAGTATGCCGATTTTAGATCTTTTGAGAAAATATCAAGAAGTGGGATAGTTAGGTCATATGGTGGTTCCATTTCTAGTTTTTGAGGAATCTCTATACTGCTCTCCAGGAAACTCTACCATTTTTAAAAGCAGGAAGAAGTAAATGAACACTTGAGAAATGGTAGAATACTTGAGGAAGTATATAGATAGTTTGAAATTGGGTGTCATATATTATGAATTGCAACCATAGCTTGTGGTTGAAGAACTCTAATGTCTTGCGCAAATAAGAAATTGTTAGACCCTGTTTTGACCTAGACCTCAAAGTGCCTTGGAATATCCTTGTTTCACTATTTACCAAAAATGAGATGCTGAGAGCATGCTCAAAGTCAGCAAATGGAGGCCCCGTATTAACACTGGGGAAATAATGTCCAGTGAGTCAATTTGACAGTCTTTCTCAAATTTTGTGTGTGGGATGTGGTGAAAACCTTTCACTGATCCTCAGTCATGCACAGGTAAAATGGACCCAAGAAGTAGACTAGACTTCTATAGGGCTCCTCCTTCAGTACTAGAAGACCAAGATGTGACAAGTGATATGGCTTGCTCATATAACAAAGTGAAGGAAGCTGCTTCTGGAATGTTGAGCTCGGGGCTCCCTCTTGGTATGCACTGGTCATGAACTAGTACAACAATTCCCAGATCTAGAGGAATTCCTCAAATCTCTCACCTTATAAATTCCTTCCGGATAGCTTGATTGAGAGAATATTCATCTGGGCAGAATTTCCCATATATTATAAACAAAAGCAGAAGCAGCATGAGAATGTACATGGAAATGTCTCTGTAAGAAGAGATTTTTCAAGTCAGCATCCTCATAACCCTCTGTGCATATACCCAGGTTTTTCCTTCTGCAAAACACTCTCAATGGAATCCTGAGAGGAAATTTTTGTATAAAGTATGAGATATGTTGAGATTCACATTTATTTTTCTTGCACATCAAAATCCAACTTTCTAAGCACCAGTTTTGAAAAGAATATCTTTTTCTCCATTGAATGGTCTTTGTTTATAAAAAAAATCACTTGAGCATATTTGTGTGGTTCTATGTGTCTCTTTTATTGAGCTGTGTGTTGATTCTGCTGCAAAACACCAACAGTCTTGGTTTCTGCAGCCTTATAGTATATCTTAAAATTGCATAGTGTCAATCCTCCAATCTGTTCCTTTTTCACATTTTTTGACTATTCTAATTCTTTGTTTTCCATATACATGTCAGAATCAGTTTGTCAGTATCCATTTTAAAAGACTTGTGGGATTTTAGTTTGTAATTACATTGAATCTACAGATCAAACTGAAAAGACTTCACACAATATTAAGTCAGTCTCCCAATTGATGCACACAGTATTTCTCTCTATTTAGGATTTTTTTTTCATTACAGTTTCATGAGTTTCAGCATACAGATCTTGAATGCTTTCTTAGATGTATGTCTAAATACTTTATTTCTTTGGGGCTATGGTAAACGGTATTGCCTCTTAAATTCTGATGATTTTGTGCTTGTGTAATAGAAACACGATTTATGTTTTTACATTGACCTGTATCCTACCAGCTTGCTAAATTCACTTATCAGTTCTAGCAGTCATTTTTGTAGATTATTTGGGAATTTCTGTTAAGACTATTCCTGTCATATGTCAAGAGCTTTGTAATGTTTTGAACAACCAATAAAAATAAATAAATAAATACATAAATTTCAACATTCAAAAAAAAAAAGACTATTCCTGTCATCTGCTAGTAGATGGTTTTATTTTTCATTCAAATCTATATTGTTTTCATGTTTTTTTCTTTCCTGTTACAATTGCTAGGATTTCTATTGTAACTGTCAATGGGAGAGAGAACAGACATTTCTGCTTTGTTCCTGATCTAAAAGTATCTCACCATCAAGTATGATGTTAGACTAAGCGTTTTTTATAGATACCCTTTGTATTGACTTAGAATATTTCTTTTCTATTTCTAGTTTGCTGAGTTTTGGGATTTCCATCTTTCATGAATTAATGTTCAATTTTGTCTCATGCATTCTGGACATCTACTGGGAGAATTATATGGTTTTCCTTATTTATGATGTTAATATGATGTAATACACTAACCACTTTTCTGTTATATCTCTTAATATTATGTACCTACAGGAATTCTTTTTGGTTGCTTTGCAGTTTACTTTTTGAACAAATTGGTTCTGTGTGCTATAGATTTGTATGTCTTTGCTTCCTTATAGTGTTATTTAGTGTGTTCTCACTATAAACTATAAATTGCAAAAGAAAAAACAACCTTCATTAAATTAAGATTGAATTCTTCAGGATAGACTGGCTTAGGGGTGATGGTCAGAAAACGCACAATGTCTGATTATTTTTAGGTCTCTCTCCTTCTTTCTTCTATATTGCCCTTTGTTGATGAGTAGTGGCTAGATTAGTTAATTAATTAAAAGCTGCAAAAAACGTTCAAGTTCTAATTCCATCATTAGCCTTCACCTAGCAGCTGGAATACCTTTGTGAAAAAAAAGTTCCCTTCTCCTTTCCTGTATTTTCCCAGAGGTGCAGAAAGGTGTTGGGAAAGGCAACAGTACTTCCTAGTTTTTAAAAAGGGGAATTCTTAGTGTTTTCTAATGTTAATTGCAATGATTACAGTTTTTGGCATCATCCTAAACTCATGGCTTTAAATATATTTCATAACCTTTAATTCATTATAGTTGTAATTTTTAATCTAGTGTCAAATTATCCCATCTTTGACCAACATGAACTCCCTTAAAATTGGCTTCTGAGTCCTTTGGTGATGGTTCTAGTTGTTATTAATCTCTTGATTAAACAATGTTTCAGGAGCAGCTTGTGTATTTTCTGTCACAGACTTTAAATCAGAAATCCCAATAATTCCTGGCTTTTATTTATTATTATTATTATTATTATTATTATTATTATTATTATTTTGGTGGAAAATGGTATCTGTAGACTAAAATCTAGGTGCTGGGGCTTATTGCTCTTGGATTGTTTCTAGTTCTTTTCTTAGTGAATGGAGCTAGGAAAATATTATTCTTTTGTTTTAATATTCCACATTAGTTCATATCTACACTTTTAATTTAAAACTAGGACTAGAAGCTTCCAATATTTTTGAGGTAGAATCTAACCAGTAAGGGCAAAATTTTAATCTTAACACAAATCTTTTTAAAATTTTATTCTTCTCTCTCCATAACACTCATTTTCTAAATTACATTTGTAATTTCCTTTCCTATGTTTTAAGATAAGCAGACTCATGGGCATATATATTCATATTCTTTCTGTTAAGCAGCGAGGGAAACACATCAAGCAAGTTCTTTATCTGGAGCTTCTCCCATAAGATCCTGAAGGTCTTTCCCTAAAAGCCATCCTCAGCCCCTCCCCCCAACCCTGCCTGCCACTACTGAAAATGCAAGGGCTTTTGCATGCTAGATAAGCATTCTACTGCTGAGCTACAGCCTAAGTCTTTATTTTTTTATTTTGAGAAAGAGTCTCGCTAAGTTGCTGAGGCTGGCCACCAACTTGGGATTCTTCTGCCTCCCTCTCCTAAGCAGCTGAGGTTATAGGCATGCTCCACTGTGCTGGGCTCCTCATGCTTTTGTTATATCTAAACACAACTCCATGCTGTCCCTGTCCTCCTGGGAAGATGTGGTTATTCCTAAGCTATTTCTATTACACAAGGTATTGCACTAATTGTCTCATGTGTGGGTTTTCTCATATTTTTGCTAATGTGTCTTTAAGGGTGATTCCTACTAGTGGGGAGTCTGGGCAAAAGGTAAGCACATCTGTACTTGTGCTAGAGAGTTCCAAATTCCCCCAAGGGGGCTGGCTGTACCTTTTACATTCCTATCAGTGTGAGAGTACTTTATCATAGCTCACCAAAAGAGCCTGTGGATGGATATATATATTTTTCCCCCAGTTTTAATTTGCAATTCTCTAACTGTAGGTGGAAGTGCCATAGTGTTTCTTTTTTTCTAAAAAATGTTTGAAAGCACATTTTTGCTCTAAAAAGTTTCTGGTCTTTTTCTTTTCTCTGCCCCACCCCCCTCTCCTGAGTTCATGCATGGATGGAGGAAATTGAGGACCAGGGAGTAAGATGTTAACTTATCATGGGTAGCTTGCAGGACCAAGTTTTCTAACTCTAATTTCCCTGCATCCCAGTGCTGGGCACAGAATGATATATGGAAAAGGATCTTCCCACCTGTACTCCCCAATACCTGATGAGAATAATCTTTTAAGAATGAAAGGGGAGTTGGACCAGAGTGCACCCATCCCAGGCACATCTGCACCCACCTTAGGGCTGCCTCCGTACGACTCTTTTTCCTAATCTTCTCCCTGATGACCCTGAGCTGAGTCTTGGATGGTGGACGCACCCAGCGCAGGTTGCGTTCTTGTTGTCGGGCAGCCAAGACCTGTCAGGGATGAAAATGCTAAGACCCTCAGGCTGGCAGTGAAAGGAGAGAGGCATTTACCATCAGCCAAAAGCAACATCATCACTGAGCTTTGCCTGGTATTTGGGAACAAAGAGCTACTTTATGTAGAGAATGTATACCAGGTTGTTGGGGAGAGGTTTAGCTCCATTTAAAAGAAACTTTGCTTATATCCCAGCCAAACTTTTTTTGGCAGGAGCTGCAGTTGGGCCACTATAAAGAATAGCTTTACACAACAGGCATGTCTGCTACTGTCAAATTATGGGAGCAATTATCTTTGGCATTTGCATGGTATTTTCTTTTAGAAATCTTCAAAGTCTGGAAAAACCATTTTAAAGTACAGTCTTAGCAAGAAATGACCTTTGATTTTCTTTTTTAAAATACTACTGCTTTCAAATTATGTCTGTTTATGTTCAAGACACACATAACAGTGGATGGAGTATTTCAATGGGTTATTAAAATAACCCATTGAAAATATTCATTCATTTTTTTCTCATTCACGCATTTGTTCATTCAATACATGTTCAATGAAGAGACCCTAGATCAGATATGGAAGACATTGATCTGGAAACTCAGAAGCTCTCCTTCCTCTGTTGTACTTTTAAGAAATACATGGCAGTACAGATGGTATAACAGTGAACCTGGGGATTGAAGCTTGGTGGTTGGGATATTCCTTTCAGCTGATGGATGTGTTATCATGAGAAGGGTGAGCACTGAAGCCAAATGTGGGGAAAGTTGGTGGGTGGAGTTCTGTTGTGGTTTGGATGTGAAGTTTTCCCCCCAAGGTCCTCTGTTAATGCAAGAATGTTCAGAGGTAAAATTGTGAGATTATGAGAGCTGTGCACTGGGTGGTAACTGTGGACAGGTGGAGTGCTGCTAGATGAGACGGGTCACTGGGGCCCTACCCTGGAAGGGTGTATCTACCCTGTGGCCCTTTTTCTGCTTTTCTCCTCTACTTCCTGACTGCTATGAATGGAGCTATGCTCCTCCATCATCCTTTCTGCCATGGTGTGCTACGTTATCTTGGGCCCAGTGCAATGGACTCAGCCACCCTTGGACTGAGACCTCTGAAACCAAGAGCATCAAATAAACTTTCCCTCCTCTAAGTTGTTCTTGTTGGGTATTTTGGTCATAGTGACACAAAACTAACTGAAACAGGCATCTTGACTTCAAGGTGCTAATGGGATGGGCACAGGTCTAGTGATGCCAAACTGACCCTTAAGATCACGGCTGAATCTGCCAGAGGAATCTACCCGAGGAAAAATCTTTAGAAAGAGAAAGAACAGAGATAGAGTAGGGAGGTGGAGTATCTGCACCTGGGGAAAAGGTAAGAAAGCCTTGAAGCAGAAAGGAAAGTTGAGATCCAACAGGTGTGAGGAAAAACCATAGCAACACTGCTTCTCAGATGAGGTGCTGGGGTGTACCGTACTGCTGTGTGGCCAAGGCCTTTATTATTTCACCTCTATGAGCCCCAATATCCTTATCTTTATAGTGGGATGCAATAATCCTGCCTACTTCACAAAATCTTATAAGCAACAAATTGATATGGTGAATGTAAATGTAGCATGAATGTTTTAGTCAGCTTTTTCACTGCTGTGAATAGAAGACACGACAAAAAAATTTTAGAGGAGGAAAAGTCTATTTGGGGGCTCATAGTTTCAGAGTCTCAATCCTTGGACAGCTGACTCCATTCCTTGGGGCTTGAAGTGAGGCAGAACATCAAGCTAGAAGAGTGTGGCAGAGGGAAGTGGCTCACACTATGATCAGGAAGCAGAGAGACTCCACTTGCCAGATACAAAATATATACCCCAAAGCCACACCCCTAATGCCCCACCTCCTTCAGCCACACCCACCTGCCTTCAATCCCCACTCAGGTAATCCCATCAGGGGATTAATTCACTGATTGGGTTAAGGCTCTCCTAACACCTCACATCCAAACTATAACAACACAATGACCACGGACTATATAATTGATGCTCAGTATATATTCTCATCATCCAGGTGCCAGGGAGGAAGGCTGTGGATCAGTCACCTGGTGAGGTTGCTTAGCCTGTCGGAGCTCTCTGGGCTTTCTGAGAGGAGGGGAGTGGGGCTGAGCAGAGGGAGAGATGGTATCTGACTGTGAATGAACTGGGACTGCAGCCTTGGTCATAAGGACCAGTGATTACTTCTCAGAATAGAATAGCACATTTTATTTTGTGTATATTCATGTCAACAACAAGCCTGTGAGTTTCTTTGTGGTGGCTGAAAGATCTTGCTCTTTTTCATAGCATCCACACCTAAGACAATACCATATGTACAAATAAGCAAAACTGAATATAGGAAGGAAAGGAGAAAGAAAGGAAATTAAGGATGGAGGGAAGAAAGGAAGTACATGACAAGAACACAGACAGCATGGTTCTCCAAAGCCCAGTTCATGCTGCACTGATAATCTCCTTACTTTTTCAACTTCCTTTGCATAGTCAGAAATGCAGCAGCTGTGAGAAAGGGGAACATGGGTTCTGGAACGTTCTTCCAATTCTGAGTCCAGATTCCTGGTTGCTTCACATAAAGACTCAGCAAAAAATTGGTTGTCATCTTTTTTTTTCCAAGCAAAACCCAATGCCATGATGCATATCTGGAGGGAGAGATGTGATAGCAGGGGCTATCATCAGCACTGGGCTGTGTTCCCTCCTCAGAACTATCCTCCTGGTACCTAATTGCCAATAGGCCTCCATTTCCTGGTTCTGAACCACTTACCAGAGGCTTGACCCCTTACCAGCCCTGGCCTGGCCTGAGAGACTTAAGTTCTCCAGGCTCAGGTTCCTCAACAGAAAAACGGGTGGTCACCTATGGAGCTTAGCACAAGGCCTGGCTCCCTCTTTTTTTTTTTTTTTCTCACCACATCTCAAATCTAACTATAAAGAAAAGAAATGCATTGCCAAAATGCAGCCAACATGCATTGCCAAAATACATCCCCCTCTCCAGTGTCCTGCTGAACAGAGGAACCTCTGCCTCAGAAGGTGTGTCTTACCATGAGTGGCTGGGTGACAAACACGCAGCAGACCACGGAAAGGGACAACAGGTGCAGCCACCTCATACACTGAGCCGTAACAAATCTGTCCAGGAGAGAATGCAGTCAGTACCCTTGTGGAAGCAAGCCACCATAGTCACTACCATCTGAGCATGGGGACACAGGAGTAGGTCAGCACCTTTGCAGGTTGAGACCTTGGGCAGGAAGTGGGGCTGCAGCCAGGTTGGGGCTACTGGACGTGGGCACTGTATCTTTCTGCCTATTAGAGGAGAGTCATTCCTTGCTGAGAGAATATCTGCCTTTCTAAAGCTACTCAGTGGTAAGAGAAAAGAAATCCAACACACAGCAACAGAGCAGAGGGAGGGAAGAGGAGGAAAAGGCAGGTGTGACATGGTGACAGCTGCAACAAGTGGATGCAGGGGGAGCAGGAGAGCACTTGGGACTTCACCTGCCTCCTTGGACCCCAAGAATTAAGGGCCGAGGAACCATACTTTCCAGATGGGTAAACTGAGGCACAGAGGGCTCTAGTGCCTCATCCATCCTCACCACTGTGAGGATGTGTGCAGCTGGGTGAGGGGAGATCATAAGGAAGAAAAGGCCTTGGCTTTGTGATCTACTTCCCATGGTTTAGGAACATGTGGGCCCACAGGAGCCATGAGATGACTCTGGGGCCTCTAGTGGTGACCAAAGCTACACAGCAGCCAGACCAAGAGGCACTGAGTGCCGGGGGCAGTCCCGAATGAATGGTGCATGGATGATAACCGTCGCACAGGCATAGGCTTGTTTGTTGTTGTACTGGGGATTAAACCCAGGCCAGCTCTACCAATGAATTAGATCCTCTGTCCTTCTAATTTTTTTTTTGTTTGTTTGTTTTGAGACAAGGCCTTTCTAAATTGCTGAGGCTGGCCTTTAATTTACAATCTTCCTGCCTCAGCCTCCTCTGTGCTTGGGCTTTTTCAAACAGGAGATGATGAGCACTTTGTCTGAGCTCCCTCTCAGGAGCTTGGTGATTGGCCCTTCATTCCTTAATGAGGACCCTAGAACTTCTTATTTAACACCCAGAATGCCATCCGGGCTGGGTGGCTGTTACAGAGCTTGCCCAACCAAGTGATCCTCTGGGGTTTGCATATGATTCTGCTCACTCCCATGGGGTGGAATGGGGTGAGAGAGAAAATATCAATGGTGACATCTGGTATCTGCATTTTATGTGTTCCTAGAAAAGAGGGGCCTCCTTTACAAATGCTAGACTTTAATCAAGTGACCTGAGTATATCTGAAAGCCTCAAAAGCTCACCTGTAGCCTATGAGTCCTGTCCCCAGTCCACAGGCTAGGGAAGCTGATCCACAAATGGCCCATGCTGCAGAGTTTGACCAAGGCATGCCAGCTCTTGACCACTGGGGCATGAGCCCTTCAAAACCACCTTTTGGAGCTATAAAAGAGTAAGACAGAGACAAGCTGGTTAATAGACCCAACATCCTCACCCACAGTGTGATGGTGAGCTTAGTGTCACCTTGACTGGGTTGTAGGGTGTTTAGAAATTGGGCCAAAGATTATTGTGGGTGTGTCTATGAGGGAGTTTCCAGATGACATTAGCATTTGTGTTGTGGACTGAATAAAGCAGAGGCCTTTTGAGGGTAGATGGGCCTTCACCCAATCAGTGGAAGGCCTGAATAGAACAAATGGGTTAAGAAGGAACTCATCTTTCCTGATGGCCTTTGAGCTAGAACATTGATCTTTGCTTGAAGGTCCAGGATAGCACCTTAGGGGCTCTACTAAAATGCCTCTTAAAATGATGGAGAGGTACCCAACATTAGAGGCAGAGGGACTAGTTTCCATCTCAGATCCCAAATGACTAAGTAGGCTGACTTAGATCTGCAGGATCTGCTCTGACTGGATTAAGACTCACTCACACCATTTGGACACTGAGCTGTGACTTGTCCCCACAGCCTTCATCATTTCCTCTTAGCTATGCAATTCCTCCAGAGCCATGCACATAACCAGAGGTCACCCCACAAAATCCCTCTCCTTGGAGGGGAATTGTAGAGCTCCTTTTCTCAAGGGATGGTTCTTAGAGATAAATCCCAATGGGGGAACATCTGGGGGCAGGAGGCAGTGTCAATCAAGGGCAACTAAACCCAGCCCATCTCAATAGACCAGGAAGCTGGCATTGGGCAAACCAAAGGACACTTGCTGAACATGCAACAGGAATGCAGAGGTATGACCAGGATGGGATGGCAGTGTCTTTCTAAGCCACACCTTCCCCACGGCCTCCTTTGGCGTCTGGTCCACCAGTGCGAACTTTCCACTTCTGAGCTTTCACTTCCCAGAATGCATGTGTCCAGCTTGCCATGGAGGGTAGCCTACTTTTGGCAATACTGGTACCTATACTATAGGCTCACCTACCTGAGGTCTCATTCACCCACAGAAAAGACCTTTTTCTGCTCCTATGGTAAGTATGCAGAGCAGGGTCCACCTGCTACCCCAAACCAATGCTCTAGGCCCTGTGTTGAGTAGGCCCTCATGGTTGCACACAGACCAGACCAGGCCCAGCAGCTAGCTCCTGCTTGGATGAGACTGACAGGGGACAGCTTGGTCTTCTCTTGAGACCCAAGCACAGGATGACCTGCCCTCCCTGGGTGCAGCCTTTGTTTTCCAGGTCATTTTCTGCTTTTCCAGCTCATTGCTGAGCTTGCAGCATAATTGAAGGAAGGGCTGCTATTCACTCTAATTTATATTTTATGAAAGCAAAGCTTCACTACAGAGAAAAAAAATAAAAGAAATATGGGCGGGGCACATCTAAGGAAAATCTAATGAAGGGAGATCTGGAGAATAGAAGAAAGGGACCAGGAGGGAGGAGGAGGGAAGAGAAAGGGGAAAGACTAAGGAATAATATTGGTAGATTTACTGTTATATTGTGTGTATGTATTAATATGTAACAACAAATCCTACCATTATGTACAACTATAATGCACCAGCAAAAGAAATGTGGAAAAAATTTAAAACACAAAGCTGCAAATTTCAGAATATCTAAAGAAGTGTGAAGACATTATTACTGGCTTTTAAAAAGATCTGATGTGATTAATAATGAATATAAATAAGAAATCAATCAGGATTTGGGACAAAGTTAGAAGCCATCATTTCAAATGAGTCCAAGCCTGTTTTTAGATAAGACTCAAGTGTCTAGTGACATGTGTCTCAACTCCAACTCTATTCATCCTGCCTCTCCCATGGCTAAGGCTGATGTTGGGCCTGCAGAAAAGAGGGCTGCCTGTTGCAACCACATGGCAATGTCACCTTGTAAGCCAGGAGGGGAGTGGTGGCTCTTTTCCCTTTGCAAAGTCCCCTGGTGGTCAGGCCTGCAGACCTCCAAATCCATGGATGGGCAGGCTGTGCCATTGCCTTCTGCCTTTCTTCTGCTCCTATCACTCCCAGAAGGAATGGCTGATACAGAATGCTGGAATGACAAGGACAGGCCAAGGTCAATATTCCCACAGATAGTGAACTCCTCGACAATGGTGCCATCTGAGCCTTCTCACAGGACAGGCATGGCACATGGTTAAGTGCAGTCCTTGAATTCTGAGGGGGAAGCACAGTCAGCATTGGGAGCTGGCTCCTTAGGACCTGTGGGGTGACCATGAAGCAATGCCTGTGGCTTGGTAGCAGCTCCATTTTTCAGGTAATTGCACCCTGATTCCTAGGAGGCACTACATGCCCAAGGAGGGTTTCAGTCAAGAGCAATGGTTAATAAAAGGCTCCAAGGTGGGAGAGATAGAATCCCAGCACAGCATTTAGGGATAGGGCACACAATGCTCCAAGCAAAGGCCCTGGAGCTGCCAGGCAGGGGTGAGAGACTAAGAAGCACAGGAATCCCACAAAGGATCAGCCTTAAGCTAAGGGCATAGTCACCTAGATCCCACAAGCAAAATCCCAATGGGTTACTGTGGTCACACCATTAGAAACTGCCCTTCACTTGCCTTTAGTCAGAGGCCTATTTGAGACCTGGAGCTCACATCACTGCAACAGCTCCTCCAAGCCCCTGCTCCTCGTGGTAGGCTGAAAGGAGCAGGCCAAGCAGACATCCAGGCAGGCCTTTCTTCTTCACAGGGGCCTTGGCAGTTTTCACTGAACATATACATGAGGCTTTCTAGGTTCTGCAGGGCTGCTCCTCTCCCATTTTTCTGGCCTCTGCAGAAACTCCTTCTTCTTGATACTACCTGGATGCCCATGCCCCCTCACTGGGGCTTGAGAATCAGCCCTACTTTTCCATATAATGGATCCCAGCCAGCACAGTGTGTGACCTTCCCATGGTCATACCACATGCAGCCAAAGAAGAATGCCAGAGAAATCCTATTATTAGCCTGCTATGCTAGAGAATTAGTTAATGCATGTAGTTGTCCACATACCTTACATGGCTCCTGGGTGTCTTGGATACCTCTACAAGAAGTAGGATCTGATTGAAAAAAAGGCAAATGTATGATGTCAACCCAGGGACATCTTAAAGCTACCTGGTACACTACCTACCTCCAGTTCTCCTTCCTGACTCATCATAATTAGCCTTTCTGAGATATGGGACAAAGCTAAGATGAGGACTTTTTAATGTTGCCATCCCAGTGTGGAATTGATACCTCCTCAGTCACCCAGGGCTGCCCTCAGGAAATATAGCAGTATTGGAAAAATGTTTTAAATAGTAAAAAGAGCCTTAAAAGAAAATAGTGATAAATGGTACTATAAAAATTTTTTAAATAATAAAACTGAAACAACAATAGCAACTGGGAAAAAGTATTCAGTCTCCATTGGACAAAGGCCCATTTACATAACTAAATGGCAATCACTTAAATCTTGTTTAGAAAAAGAAAGGATTCTATGAAGTCAATGAAGAGGGGCAAAGGAAAGGGACAACCCACAGAAAATAAGATGGCTTTTAAATATATGAAACATAATGCAAACTGGAAGTAGGGGATTCCATTCCTACCTAAAAGATTGGCCCAGGGGATCAGCTTGAGGGGAGAGTTTGAGTTTCTAGTGCATGCTTACCCAGAGGGACCTCTGTCTGCACTCCTCTTAGCGGTCTGCATGCCTCAGTCTGGGGATACTCCATCGCTTCCTGCAGAAGTAGAGGCTGGTTAGAGAGGATATCCCCCAGCAATGGAGGTGCCACTCAGGAGCATAGGGCTGTGCAGATAGTCCACAGGTACCTTGCTGAGCCTGAAGAGCAGTGCCAAGAGCTGTGACCCTGGGGAGGCCAGGAGGGTGCACAGGAAACCCAGACTAAAGGATCGGAGAGTGATGTCTGTGGGTCCGACATCCAGAGAGAGCTGCGACAGTCAACAGTAGAAGTTATAACTCCTCAAGTGATTCCAACTTAAAACTCAGGGGCATTTGTAGTTCCGAAGACTTAACCTTTGCTCTCTCAATCCAGGTTAAAAAATCACAAAAAAAAGTCATTTGTTTTTCTCCTGTAGAAGTCCCTGTGGACACTCATTTTTCATGAAGGGGATTCTCAATGGACTTAATCCTTGCTATAATCTGACAAGAAGGCATCAGTATCTTCAATGTGCCACCCAACATAGGTTTTCTGACTACAGGTCCTGAGTACATCCCAGGTGGATATGGTGGTTCCTTTCTTGCCAATTAGTGATATTTTGAAATATTTTTTAAAAACTAATTATTTGCACATGACACTCCTTTAAAAAACTCTAAATCTATAACTGTTACCACACCTCTCTGATATCTGGTGCCATGTTAGAAGGCCACCATCCCCAGCTGCATGGTTGGGACCATATGGATGTAGTGGGTTGGGCTTATAAGTAGCCCTGAGTTGTAAGAAACTAATCCCACTGTTTTGCCATACCCTCCAAAATCATGCTGTTTCCCCTCACTCAGGAGAGACAGGTTGAACTGTTTCTGAATTAATTCTCTACATTTCATGAGGAATAATTAGACCATGTTTGCAGTGTAAACTGGCATTCCAAATGCTAATGTGGCCATGCTAACTTTTCCCTGTTCTCTCAGCCAAAGCATTTGTTTAAAATGTGAATAAATGTCAACCTTAAAAAAAAACTTGGGAGTGTTCCCACGAGACAACCCAGGCTACCAATACCTCTGGGGATATCATGCTCTGTGGCCCCTGGGGTTTGAGGTCTCATACAGCAGTGGTCAGCCAACCACAGCAGCTCCTCACCCAGACCTTTCATCTTTCAGACTCTTCCCAGCTACATCTCTGGCCATGTCACCTGGGGTCCCTCCAGGTACACAGCCTGATTCCCCTGGTTTACACTCTTCTTCAAGTAAGTCTCGCTAATTTCCTGGTTAAGAGGGAGCCATGCTTTAGGTCTTGAGAATTGGCAGCTATTGTGGGAAAATCAGCTGCCTCCCACCTGCTCATGTTCTCCTGCAGTAACTAGGACTGCAAGGAATGCATAGACACACAGCAGACAGAAGGACACCGTGAGCCGCTGTGTGTGTAAGTAGCCACTGGAGGAAGGCCGACTGTACACGGAGAGCCAGACATGGAAATCCTCCAGGTACTCTGTGAACTTGGAATAGAACAGCTGAAAGGGAAAACCACAAAACAACAATTTCCTGATGTCAGACATTTGTGTGAACAAAGTGAGATCCTGACTGATAACCAACAATTTCCTAAGCTGAGACTCCAAAATTTTTTGGCTTTTCTACCTGGGCTGGTTAGCTGGATGCTATATAACCACTGGGTGCAGGTGGACGATCCACACAGCCCCTTGCTCTGGCTTCTTTCCTCCCACCTCATTTCCAGCATCTTGCTGCAACCACACACTCCCACCACCCTGGACTTTGGCTTAGTCCAGCCTCCTACTGGAGGCCCCTGAGCCTCCCTCTCACTTGTCTGGCTTCTGAATTTTTAACATTGGCTCAGAAACCCCTTCTCTCTAGAGTCTCTGAACACACTTCTCCATGTGTTCCTAATAGACTATTTAGGAACTGTTCTCAGTACTTTCCCCAACAGACAGTTCATTTTCACTGGGCTCTGAGTGCACCAAAAGCTAGTGCCACCCATGCTGTAACCCACATGGTCCACCATGTAGCAGGCACTATGTTGCCCATGGAATTATACTAAATTTTTAATGTTTCAATGCAATTCAAACATTATTTAGTGCTCAACATTGTAGAAAAAAACAGAATTACTTATACATAGGACTGATATATGAATTACAAGTAGAATAATGAGCAAATACCAGCAAAAAAATCGAAACAGAATAAGACTGTGTCTTTTATATGTCAACTGATTGTCCAATGAGTTAGAGTGGATTCATGGAATATAGCTACATGGACTCATAAGTGACTAACTTAGTGTAAATTTCTTACACAGTGTAAATTTCTTACACAAAGTTCTCAAGCAAAATAGCTGGAGGAGAAACAATGCACATCTCCTATTGTTAACTGTGTTCAGTCAGCTAAGTGGTCATTCTTACATGGAATAATTGTCTGAAGGAAAGTCCCATTTGAATTGTCCCTTGGTTTCAGGTGGTGAAGAATTTCCATATGCTGTGGCTGATTGGAAACCCTTGTTTCAAATTCATGATGATTGTGCTTCCTAATAAATCAGCAATGTCAAGCCAGAAACTACTTCATTTGTAAGCCTGGTTTTCCCCACCACCACGACAATGGGACATGCTGGAAGGAGAGCCCAGTGGATTGGTGAGATCCAGTGTCTGGGGAAATATCAGCTTTCATGGGCCCTGACTCCTGCTTGAGAACCATCTTAGGAAATCATTTGCCAGAAACACAAAGACACACTCAAACCTACAGTTTTCTATCATGGAAGTAAATAAAAGAAAATCAAGAGTACCCAGTAGGTGGATACTTAAGCAAATAAGAGTGTATATCAGCCATTATAAAGTCCTTAAATTGTTCATAAAGAGCATTCATAAAGAAATTTACTCTAAAATGTTGAATTAGGAAGCACAAAACACATAAGTCTTTTTATTACAACTATACAAAATGAATAGGGAACATTGGAAATAGGAAAAGATTGGAAGAGAACTTGTAAAAATCAAAACTTTCACAGTTGGTCTGTGAGATCATGGGTGACTGTCACTTTTCACCATCTCCTGCCATCTGGCCCTAATCACATCTATATTGTGTGATAGTAATCTAAGTTGTTTTGTATATATACACAAGGTGCTGGAAAGACTTTAATTAGGGGTCTGCTGAACATTGCAAACCACCAGTAACCAGAAATTCCATAGGTGGTATTGCAGTAATTGTTAAAAGAAGAAACATTACTGTAGCGATTAAAGTTGGCAAAGGCCATCAGTTCATGCTTACATGGCCACTTACTGCATGCATCATTGAAGATATGAATATCCTGATAGTTGACTAAGAAAAGAAATAATATGCCAAACTTGAGAAAAGTTTAAATAAATGACTATAAGAAGAAAAGCAGAGCTAGGTGCTAAGGTGTGCCAGTCACCAGGTGGGCAGGTTGGCACTGGCATGGGACTTACTTTCTGGAAACCCAACCCATGGCGCAGGCGGGTGAGCTCTCGCTCCACGTGGCCATCCCATTGGTCCGCAGCTAGCCAGCACTGGGCAGGGAAGAACCAGCTCTGTCCTGAGTACAGCTCTTTCACCATCACGTGGCTAATGAACCAGCTTGGGGAAGGCCCACGGCTGTCATGCCAGAGGCGGATCTTCCGGAGTGGGCCCAACTGCGCAGGAGCACTGATGACACACAGCAGCATCACATCAGCCCTGTGTGCAGGATGGCATGGGCATGGCACCTCGCCAAATCTGATGCTGGCACTCAGGACACTAATGATCCATGAGGGGCAGATATGCCAACAGATAACTGCTATGCAGAGTGACAGGTGGAAGCCCCAGAGCTGGCTAGTGGATAGTGAATCCCACCCAACACACAGGGGTTCAGCATCTATCACACTTATCCCCTGAACCTCAGTTCTGCTTTCCATGACTTCAGTTCCCCACCATCAAGCATGAGTCCAAAAATATTAACTGGTGAATTCCAGAAATGAACAACTCATAAGTTTTAAATACATTTTGTTATAGTATATTATAATTATTCTACTTTATTATTAGTTATCTTTACTCTTTTGCTAAGAAAAGTTTAAATAAATGACTATAAGAAGTTATTTACTTCTTACTCTTATACCCTCATGTCCTTACTCTTACATGTCCTTACTCTTCCAGGTTTGGAATGATACTAATTAATTTAGGCAGGTTTAGTGGCCTAGAATTGTGATTGTGATTTTAGTGTGAAAAAACTAATAAATGAAACTGTATCCTAGGTATGTATATATAGGAACAAACAGAGGTATGCAGGGTTGGTATTATCTGCTGTTTCTGGAATCTATCTGGGTCCTGGAATATATCCCCTGAGAACAAGGGGGATTGGTGACTATAGTTTTCCTAAATCCAAGTCAAGCAAATCTCATTAATGTATTTTTGCCTGGAGTGAATTAGTCAGAAGTTAACTTTTTATCTCTTAATAAAGAACTACTCCAAATGGAAAAATACTATTAATAAAATTTTCCAGTAGAAAAAATAATTTAGTTCAGTACTTTCACATTTCTAAAAGTGGCAGAAGCTGGCCTTCTATCTTGATAAATGATCCTACCTCTTCCAACATCACCAACACTTTGCAAGACCACATGTCTTTACTCTTCCAGGTTTGGAATGATACTAATTAATTTAGGCAGGTTTAGTGGCCTAGAATTGTGATTGTGATTTTAGCATGCAAAATTAGTTGATTTCCTTCTTTCTCTTTCTCCTTCCCTCTTTCCCCCTTCATATAACCTACCTTTAGTCTACTCCAAATAATAAACTATAAAAATACTTCATAAAATTTTATGTACACTGATGTTCCCAATGTTCTCTATGCTACTTTTTTGGGCTTATGATGAGAACACTCTGATTCTGATTGGCCTATCTTTTCTAAATCGTGTGGTTGAAATATCTCCAAATACCTCAGGATAAACGTGTGTCTGGAATTCCTTTCAAACAGGGTCTTCTCAGGACTGCAGAGCTCTTTGGTTTCTGAAAGTCCATTTTCACCACATAAAACAATGAAAACCTTAAAACACAGACACAGGGTGAGAGCTCCAGATGTTTCATAGAAGATGCCAGCACTCCTGGGGTAGGGCTTCCCTGATCTTCTCTACTTTCCATCCTTCTGGAAACCACCTGACAAGCTGTGGGACAGCTACAGGGCCCAGCATGGAGCTGAGGGGAGAAGGGGGTGCCCGCATGGCCTGCACAGTCCTCCTAGATTAGGGAGGATTGGAGGATGGGGAATAGGGCCTGGAATTGGACCCTGGAAATGGAGCCTGGGGTGGCTGGATGGTTTTTCACATCCTTGATTTAGAAATCTTAGTTCCCACCTGGGATTTATTGGGGCACTAATCTTTTTCAGGGTAAAAGAACACATGGTGGGGGCAGCATCTTCCTCCCTTTGGCTTGGCAGGAACACTGGGGGAGGCCTGCTAGGCCCTGGAGTGGCATCAGGGTCAGGTGGCAGGGGCTTCCACCTCTGCAGGTGCACCCTGGGGAGGCCTGTTTCCAGTGGGGCTGGGCTTGTTGTTCCTCACTGGTGTATTGCTACCCAGGAATGAGTACTGTGTTTATCAATCTTTCACTTAAGAAAGATATTTTTTTTTAAATTCAAAGATACTAGGACTGCTGTAAGTAGTCCTAGTTAAGAGAATTTAGTTAAGAGAATTTCCTTCTATGTGATGCTCACTGTTTATGAATTACTATAAATATATAGTTGATAGGCTAGGGCTTGTAGTGAGTGGAGATCATGTTAGATTTCGTGCCTAGCTATACCATGGCATTCCCATCACACACATCTCTTTTCTAACATTCATTGACCCATTTTCTTCTCAATGCCCTCAGTCCTACAGGTTTCCATAAAGCAGCCATAGTTCCCTCAGGAAATGGGAGTGAATTTTGAATGCAGATGGAACCTCTCTTCTTGTCTCTGTGACTTGTGGTTCTGCTCATGGCTCTGGTGTTCATCTCTCAGACCTTGCTCTCACCGCCCACTTGGCATGGATGCTCCCCTATGCTGCATCACTTCCTTCAGCCTCCTACCATTTCCTCTACTCCCCACCCTTCTATTTCATCCTCCATCTGCTTGGGAAGACTCTTTTTAACCCCAAGCTTCCAATCCAGGTATGTTCCCACCTATCTCCAAGGTTTGTCTGATCAATTCTCATTCCTTTCTCCCTAGATCTATATCTGGGTGGTGGGTAATAGATTCCTGTCAACTCAGAAGAACTGAGTTGTCTCTCAAAGTCTCAGAGACTAATCCAGAGACAGAACCAATCTCTTTGATCTGTTTTCCATGGTAAAGGCAGAAAGAGGGGAAGGGATTTGAGCTGGGAGAAGGTTGGGGGGGGGTCCCACCTTCTGCTCTTACACATGTACAGGTTGCAGGAGGGTAGAGGGAATTGGATGGGGCTGGTGGTGACAGGTGATTGACAGTTCAGTTAAATCATCAAATCATCACTTCTCGTGCATTGAAGGCTACACACTTAGGCTACACACTTAGACTCCACTGAGGTATCCCCAGGGCCTTATGTTACCTTTGAGGTAAATCGAGCTGGTGCTCGGAAGCCAGTGTCAATGACAACAGCATACAACTTGTGGCCAGGTGGGGTATATTCTTGCAGAAAAATGTATCCCATTTTCTTTTTTTCATGATTATCTATACATCTGCTTTTAGTAACCAAAAATCCATAAAGAATCATAAAAATCACAATAAAAATACTGGGAAGTAGGTTTTGTGGGTGACTGTGAGTAAAAAAAAGGAAAAGATATAATGAGAATTACACATGGAAATAGACACTTAGAAAACTGATCACACACACACACACAACACACACACACACACACACACACCACAAGATAGTCTGCAGGTTGTTTTCAAACATGTCCTGGAGCCCCAGTGCAAGGAGCTTCTGAAGACAGGACTACCATGGCATGAACTCCAGAACAAGGAGGCCTGTGCTGAACCTGCCTTTGAGGTGGGAAGCTACACCCGCTGGGCCTGAGGAACTTTTGTCGGGAAATGAGAAAAATGCCAATCTCATGCTATTATGAAGATTAAGGCATGCAGATGTGTACTTCAAACATGCAGATGCAACATTCTTCCCCCTTCCCTCTTCTGCCTCCAGGGCAAGGCTAGGAGATGTTGGAGGGGTTTCAGGTAGTGTTATGGTTTAGATGTGATGTCTGCAAAAGCTCACATGTGAAACAATGCAAAAGGTTTGGAGGAGAAATGATTGGATTCTAGCCTTAACCTAATCAGTGAATTAATTCCAGATGGTATTAACTGGATGGTGACAGAATGCAGGTGGGGTGTAGCTGGAGGAAGTGGTTCATTGGGGGCGTGGCTATGGGGTATATATTTGAATCTGAAGAGTAGACTTTCCCTCTATGCTTCCTGATCACCATGTGAGCAGCTTTCCTTTGCCCTACTCTCCCACCAAGATGTTCTGCCTCACTTCAAGCCCCAAGGAATGGAGCCAGCTGTCTATGGACTAAGACCTCTGAAACTGTGAGCTCTCAAATAAACCTTTCCTCCTCTACAATTGTTCTGGTCAGGTCTTTCAGACACAGCGACCCAAATAGGTAGACTCATCTACATCCCACCTATACCTGTCTGTGGGTGGCACTGCTTGCTCTCCACCTGTAGGTCACACTCACCGGGCACCAATCCTGGCTTGGGGAGAAAGATCCTCTAGCCCCTGTAGACCCACAGAATAGTATCCATATAGAGTCCCCTGTGTTGGGCTCTTAACCTAATAAGGTATTCTGGCTGGGCTCAGCCTTATGGATCTTTTATAAGATTCAGAGGTAGGGCCTGGAGTCCATACTGCTTGGGGACTCAGTGCTAAGTCCCCTGCTCACTGCTCTTTGACTGTATCTAGGATCGGGCTGTGCTTCTGGTCTTGACTGTACTCTTCTTCCTTCTTTCCCAGCAAGACCAGGACAAACTTGTTCTAAGCCACATCTCATCAGCTCACAACCACCTGGCTCTAGTTTGTCCTTACTACACCTGAGCTGTGGCTTGGAACCTCCTGGATTCTGGCCAGATGTCCCTGGTGTTACTGCCTCTGTGTGACTTCAGGTATTGTCTTCTATCTGGACTTCTCCTGAGCTTTCCCCCAAACCTCTTTGTTTACAGCCCCCTCCCCAATGGTGTCAGTGCTGCGGAAACCAGGGCTGAGGCTGCTGTACTTAGAGCCCTGATCACTGGATGACTGGTGACCTTCTCTGAGGTCAGCAAGAATTACATTAGTAATTAATGTCTTATTTACAAATTCTCTTATTCACCAATTAGTCTAGGAAATACTATGGTTGATTAAGTAATAAAGGCAGAGTTTCCTATTATAAGAATATCAAGGTAGGAAAACTGAAAAACTCAACACTCAAGGAAGTACAGATCTGCCCTTAATATTCACTCAGCAAATGTTTACTGAACACCTACTAGGGACAAGCTCTGTATTAAACATAGGTCAGCCTGACAAATTAGACAGACAAGGTTGCTGCCTACAGAAGCTTGCCGTTGATGTGCCCCTGTTTCAGACTCTAAATATAAGTTGTTTCATGTGAAACATGAAAAATAGGGTGAATTTTAAACTTACTGTTTAAAATGGACACATCTCAGAGACAAAGAGAGCTATTAACAACTAGGCTGTGACTATAAGTATAAACCAGGTCAGACAAATCTAGGTGACAACACAATAGATATTAACATAATCAATTATAATTAGCCAAATTCACATTGAACTAAATCTAACCTAAAAATTTAAAAAAATTATGTTGACTCTCTTGTGTTTATAAATCTCTTGTCAGTGAATGTAAGTATAGACAGTATTATGGTTTGGATGTGAGGTGTCTGCCAAAAGCTCATATGTGAGACAACGCAAGAAGGTTTAGCAGAGAAAGGATTGGGTTAGGATAGCCTTAACCCAATCAGTGAATTAATCACCTGGTGGCATTGAATGGTAACTGAAGACAGGTGGGGTGAGGCTGGAGGAGGTAGAGCACTGGGGGTGCGGCTTTGGGGTATGTATTTTATATCTGGCAAGTGGAGTGTCTCTCTTTGCTTTCTGATCATCATGTGAGCCACTTCCCTCTGCCACACTCTTTCACCATGATGCCCTGCTTTGCCTGGAACCCAGAGGAATGCAGCCAGCTGTCTATGGACAGAGACCTCTGAAACTGCAAGTCCCCAAGTAAACTTCTCCCTAAAGTCATTCTGATCTGATCTGATCTTTTAGTCACAGCAGCAAAAAAGCTCAGACATACAGTTGGATATAGTATTTAAAGACAATTATCTCCTAATATTCATAATCCAAAAAACAAAATAAGACCCTCATCATTATACAAAATACATGTATGAAAATGTGAATTTGGTGTCAATATACCTTATATATAATCGGAGATAAGATAAATTAGGTATAATGGTGTTTAAGAATTGTAATGCAAAAATAAATAAATAAAATTTTGTTGTGAACAACTAATAAAAAAAATAAAACAGATTTCAAGCATCTGCTTAATTATACATGAGCATGCTGAGTGGGCAGTGGCAACAACAAAATGAAATCTTGATTTAGAAGATGGAACTTACTGCTGTAAACTGGATATGTCGCTCACTTCAAAACCGGCCTTCAGCTTTCTTCTCAGGACAGAGAACACTGCGAGGTGGTCATAGCTAGGAGGGAAATGCACATTACGATACCGAATGTGCAACAGGAGCAGCTGTTCACAGGGTAGTGGTAAGATAACCAGAGTGAAAAAGAAAACAGGTCCTAAACATACTGCTACCATGTGCGCCCAGTTCACAGTGTATATTAATGCCATCATTCATTCTCTATTACATACCAGTCCCTGCTAGTTACTGGTATGTAATAGAGAATGAATGATGGCATTAATTTATAATTAAATATAAAAGTGGAATATTGGGCTGTTACCTGGAAATTCAAATGGCACAACCACAAAAGGGTGCAACACAATAAAGTCAAAAACAAAGATGAATGTCGAGATGCTCCAATCAGGACATATTTGCCTAACTGGCAACCATAATATACAGTTTCTTATGGTTTAATTTTTCCTAAGGAGGAAACGACTATTTCTTCTTCTAAATATGCCTAAATTATTGTTGATCTCTACCTTAACAAGAGGGTAAGGACAACCAAAATGAAAGGACTAAACTTCTCATACAATTGTAAATTTTGTGGCTAGAAAATAAAGAATTTCCAATTTAGTAACATGATTCAGATACCCAGAAATTCCTGAGAAGGGAGCTCATGTCTGTGCAGAGTCTCATGATGTTCATCCTCGAGCCAGGCCTGGGGGTGTGGGGTGAGGACTCCTCTGCACAGGAAGAGGAGGGACAGAGGGGCAGTGAGAGCAGAGGACCCTGTCTGACTTCAAACTGCACACCCAAGGGGTGCCAGCATTTCCATTATAATAAAACTGGACCCCTGTGCCACTTCTCTGTTGACTCATTTCTGAGTAGAAAGAAGCTCAATAAATAGCTACTGCACCGCAGTCACCATGGGGAGGGGTGGGCATGATGACCAGGTAGAAACCAGTCCCCTCCTCTCAGAGCCACAGGGCAGCAAGGGAGAATCAAGACTGACATGAGAATGGGTATAAAAGGCTCATCCTGTTAGGGTTGTGCCATCCAAGACTTTTCCAGCTATTCATGGGAGGACATGATTCAGAAGAGGTTCCAGGGCCCGACCAAACGAAGAAGCCAATGTAGTCACTTGCTAAAATTCCCGGACTCTTTCCCAACAGCATGCTCATACCTGCAATTAACTTTTTCTGGAGAAGTTCCTGGTTGTGGAGAGAAACTTTCAGATTTCCACTCTCTCTTATCCCAAAACACGCATTGGATCCACTGGAAATGTACTGTGTAGTTCACTGCCTTAGCAAAGTATTTGTTTGGAGGTCTTCTGTCATAGTCAGCATCTAACAAGGATAAATATCCCACGTTGGCACCTACACAGAGAAAAGGCAAACAGTCTGAAGTTTGCAAAAGGCATACTCCATTCCAGACAGAGGAGCTGGTAGGTGGGGAAAGTAGAAAGAGATAGGCAGAGATTGAAAGGGGACATTAAATTCTGGCCTTTTTTGTTTCCAGAGCATTTAAATGATGAATTACACCCACTCAAACTTTGATTTGACTATGGCAAAGTGCTAGGAAGGAAAACAGTATTTCCAGGGCTTGTGATGTTCCAAGTCCTTCCTGAGACCCTGAACAAACCAGTTACCTCATTTTAGTGGAGATGGAGAGAGTTCAGTCTTCAGATGTCATTCAAGCCACTTTCTATTTCTCCCCAGCCTGTCGGCCAACCTGTCAAAAATCAGCATATCACAGTCTGCATCCTTCTTGTTTAAGGGCAGTACAGTGATTCCTGTGGTATTTTGGGTGTTTGTTTATTTGTTTTTTGGTACAGGGGATTGAACCCAGGGGCACTTAACCACTGAGCCACATCCCCAGCCCTTTTAAACTTTTTTTTTTTTTTTTTAAATTTTGAGACAGGGACTTACTAAGTTCCTTGGTGCCTTGCTAAGTTGCTATGCTGGCCTTGAACTTGCCATCCTTGTGCCTCAGCCTCCTAAGCCACTAGGATTACAAGTGTGCACCACTGCACCCAGTGACCCATTTGGTTTTAAGCTATCATTTTTAGATAATTTTTATGTTTAAAAGCAAAAGCATTTTAATCTGTCACTTATTTAAAATTTTCTCCTAATACTTTTAACAAATACCAGGGCAGTCACCACGGGGAGGGGTGGGCATGATGACCAGGTAGAAACCTGGTCATCATTCATTAGATATGAACTATTTGTATAAATATGGAATTAGGTCCATTCCTCATCCCAGTCACAATAATAAGCACCTATTGATCAGAGGTACAAATGGAAAAAAAAAACTTTACAAACACTAAAATAGCACATGAATGATTTCTTCTAGAATCTGAATATAAGAAATTAATTTCTAACAATAGTTCAAAATTTAAGACTCATGTTAGAAAATGCTGGTAAATTTCACTATTAATTTTTTTTCAAAACAGTAAAATAAATCAATGGTGAGCTGTAAGAAAATATATGCAATCTATATTACAGAAAAGGATGCAGACTCTGACATGCTGATGTTTGGCTGACAGCCTTGGAGAAATAGAAAGTGGTTTGAATGGCAACTGAAGACACTGAACTCTCTCCATCCCCACTAAGATGAGGTGATTGGTTTGTTCAGGATCTCAAGAGGGACTTGGAACATCATAAATCATCCTAATATAGAAAGAGCTCTTAAAAAAAACATTATATCAAAGAAGACATTTGGTATTTGTTTTTTAGGGATTGGCTAGCTTCACTAAGCATAATCTGTTCTAGTGCCATCCATTTCCCTGCGAATTCCATGATTTTGTCATTTTTTAGTGCTGCGTAATACTCCATGGTGTATAAATGCCACATTTTTTTAAATCCATTCATCCATTGAAGGGCATCTGGGTTGGTTCCACAGTCTAGCTATTGTGAATTGTGCTGCTGTGAACATCGATGTGGCAGTATCCCTGTAGTACGCT